ATTATTTGTTTTAAGAAATAAATTACAGTGTAAGAATTTTTTTCTTGTTTTAAGATTTACAGCAATATTGTAAATCTAGTGTTTATAGTTTAAAAAATATATTTCTTGTTTTAAGAAACAAATTGCAGGATGGGAAATTTATTTCTTAAAACAAGAAATATATTTCTTGTTTTAAAAATTGAATGTCTTAAACTAGAGACAAAGATTTACGCTTTTGCTGCGTTCATATTTTAATTTGTATTCATGACCAATATTAAAGCATTTATATTTGTGTTGTTCGGTATATAGTTGGCTATAATATGGAAAGTTTAAAAAGTTCAAATTCACAAGGCATAAAGTATAAATATGGAGTCTGGAAGCACCAAAAAAGCATTGTATTGAATGTGGATACTATGTGGAGAGAAAAATATTCTATGTAAATGTTTTTTTTATATATATAAAAAAAAAATGTAATAATAATATTTATATTTTGATAAAAAGTTAAAAAGTTCGTTTAATTTTTTTAAACTAATTTTTACTATATTAAGAATGTTTTTATTGTTATTTTAGAACTGATAATTTTGCTTGTGGTCTACCATTTGATGAATTTATTTATGGTGCATTATATCAAGAACACAAGATACAATCATAATGTTAATGGGCCACCGGTGTTGATTCAAAAGTAAAAACAAATTTTTCAAAGTAGTTGAAGTTTATATTATAAGCATATAAAATGTTTGAAAAATACTTATGCAAAAGATTATGCAATAATATGTAAGCTTAAAAAAATTTAATTATATACGATTTACAAGTTCTATTTCAATAATAAATTGCAAGGTAAAAAGTTCACAGTAGCTCACTTCAATGCTGAAAAAATCCCAAGAAGCATTATCTATGATATAATCAAACGTGTTGAGAATGATTCTGGGCACAAAAGAGTGCAAGGAAGTGGTCGTGTGGCCAAAATCATGACCCCTAAGAGGATCAAGCGCCTGAAAGCCATATTTGATCACAGTGACTGAGTTTCGATGAGGCAAGCTGGTCGAAAATTCGGATGCAGTCATTCACATATCATTAAAACTCTTGCCAAGTACACTGACATCAAAAGTTATACAAAACAGGGTATACCTCATCGACAAGAGAACCAGAATGAGCAAATCAAAACTGGCATTGATCGTCTTTATCGCGTTTTTAAAGGAAAATCGGTCATCCTTGACGATGAGTCTTACTTCACGCTGTCACACTCAACAATTAATGGAAACAGCACCTACTACTCTAGCAACAGAGACAAGATTCCACCAAGTGTTAAATATCGCAAAAAGCGCAAGTTCGAACCCAAGGTGCTTGTCTGGCTGGCCGCTTCTGACAAAGGTGTTTCAAAACCATTTTTTATACCCAGCGGCCTTGCAGTCAATAAAGCCATCTATGAAATGAATTGTATTAGGAAAAGATTAGTGCCGTTCATCAACGCTTATCATGCCTATGGTAATTACATATTTTGGCCGGACCTGGCTTCATCGCATTATGCCAAAACCGTGACCAGCTGCTACGAGACTCATAACATCAATTTTATCAAAAAAGTTGACAATCCGCCAACCATACCGGAGTGTCGCCCAATCGAAGACTTTTGGGCTATTTTGAAAGGCAAAGTGTATGAGAGTAACTGGCAAGCAAAAGACGTGAAACAACTACGAACCAGAATAAAGATTTGCCTGAAAAAATTGACCTTAACCTTGTATTTTCACTTTTTGGGTCAACTCGTGTTAGAGTTGGCCGAATCCGAAGAAACAGACTGGTTGAAGACAAACTTAATTAAAATAAATAAATAACTAAAAACTCTTTTTAATGATAGTTTTATTTAATCTCTACCATAAAAACTTTGGGAGTAATTGCACTTGAAAGTTTGTCCGGATTTTTAGTAACCACCCCTTATATGCTTATCTTTTTTAATTCCAGAGATTTTAATTTATAACCTATGTCATGATTATGTAATTTATTTTGTGTTTTAGGTATATGTTTGACTATAATCAAGAGAATGCAAAAGATAACAATTATTTGCTCTAAAAGCATATATATAATATTTATATATATATTATGTTTATATATATATAAATTTTTATTTAACTTTTTTATGCAATATTTAGTGCAACAATATATGTCAGTAATTGGTGAATATATTTATGTCATTAATTTTTTCTTTTAATTTTTTTTTATTGATTAAGGAATACATTTTTAGATTAAGAGTTTTTTGTAAAGTAAATTTTGCGCTTTCTACGGAGATTTACGGAAGCAGATTTTCCAGAAATTTTCTGTTATTTTACAGAAAAATCAGTCACTTGTTAACGGAAATATCCGTTTAAATATGGAAATATCTGTTATTACAATGATCGAAATTTATACAGAAATTTCCTTTAACACTTGATTTTTCCGTAAAATAACAAAAACTTTCTGGAAAATCTGCTGCTGGAAATTTCCATATAAAACATGATATTTTTTAACAGTGTATATATATATATATATATATATATATATATATATATATATATATATATATATATATATCAACTAAAATAGTAATCAAAAACTAGTTAAAACTTTTTTCAAAATATGCTTCCTTAACTAGAGTTTGTCTAATGAACATCTATAGTAATTTTTCTGAATTTAATTTTTTCAAAACAAGAGTTAGTCTAATGAACATATATAGTAACATTTCTGAATTTAATTCTTTTTAAACAAGCGTTTGTTTTATGAACATCTATAGTAACTTTTCTGAATTTAAATCAAGTTTGAATCAATTTAGCACAAAACAATGGCTTAAATATGCAACCTTGATTTTACAAAAAAATAGTTGCACTTTTTATATTTCTTTATTATAACATTGATTAAATGATTTTTCAACATGCAACCGTTTGTCTTTAAAAAAGTTTCACCACATGCAAAAAACTTGATTAAGAAACAACTATATTTTAGTGATAACCTTGTGGTTTTGTAACTTGAGATGAAAAAAAACCCAGCATAAATTATCTATTTTATTAGGTCACAGGGCAGGATTGAAAAGTCTTTTTTTCCAAAAGGAATGACCTTTATAAACTAAATTGGAAATTCAAAAAAAAAAAAAAAAAAAAAAAAAAAAAACCGTTTAAGAAGGGGGCAATAATACCTAACACGCTACCTATAAAGACCTATTTAGTTTCAGATAAAGATATTGCATGTGGAATATTAATTTTTTTGTTATAGCAATTTGAACTTGTGTCATGGAAGGAACCTATCATTCTTTTTGTGACACAAGTTTTAAATGCCTATAAATAAAAATTTAGAATTCTCCTAACAATGTCTTTCTCAAAATTAAATAGATATTTATAGGTAGTATGTTAGGTTTTTTTACCCCCGTCTAAATGTTTTTTTTTTTTTTTTGAATTTCAAATTTAGTTTAAAAAGGTCATTTCTTTTGAAAAACAAGACTTTTCAATTATGCCCCACAATTAATTTGTATACAATAATAATTAAATACTAAATCAATAAATATTAAATACTAAATCATTGAATGTAAATTCGATGCAAGTGTAAATAATAAATACTAAATCATTGAATGTAAATTCAATGCAAGTGTAAATATTAAATATAAATAGGCGATTTCAATATTACTTAAAAGTTAACATGCTTACTTTAAGATACTGTAAAGATAATGCTTTATTTATTTTCAAAATTTTATATTACTAATGAATATATAAATATCTAATAGCGCAAATAATATTTTAAAATTTAATTTTCTAAAAAGTTTGATTTTCTTTTTTTATTTTATTTTATTATTAACAGACTAAAGCTGATAGACTGGTTCCAACTGATAAAGAAAGTTATTGACTGATTAAATTGTGTTTAATTGAACTAGGAAATTATTTAAAATGTTAATTTACAATTATTTATTTTGATGATAAAAAAATGCCAAAAAAACAATGTCACCTTTTTAGATAAACAATGGATGTTAAATCTACTATATTATATTACTAAATAAATGTCTACTGAAAAAATCTTTATAATATGTTATTTCAAAAAGTTATTTCAAATATTTAAAAAAAGGGCTGACTGTAGGTAAATCAAAAAAAAAAAAAGAAATTATTTTTGCTTAAGCACAACCAGATAACAAGATGTTTCAAACATCCAGTAGACATATACAGACATCCAGTAAACATGAACAGACTTTAAGTAGACATATGCAGACTGGCAACTTTAAGTAATAAGTGATATGACAAAGCCTGCAAACATTCCTTGATAATAAGCCAATAAAATAAATGAACTATTTTAAAACAAATTTGCAAGCAGAACAAATTAGTAAGAAGATTAAATTTGTAAGAAGAACAAATTTGTAAGAAGAACAAATTTGTAAGAAGAACAAAATTGTAAAAAGAACAAATTTGTAAGAAGAACAAATTTGTAAGAAGAACAAATTTGTAAGAAGAACAAATTTGTAAGAAGAACAAATTTGTAAGAAGAACAAATTTGTAAGAAGAACAAATTTATAGGAAGAACAAACTTGTAAGAAGAACAAATTAGTAAGAAGAACAAACTTGTAAGTTTGTTCTTCTTACTAATTTATCTATCTAATAAATTTGTAAGAAGCTATAGTATTACTTCACACTAACATACACTTTGATTTTGATATACAAGATCAAGTTTATGATATTGTCTAGTTCCTGTTATTACTTTTACATTTGTAAACTATTCAATAAGTAATATTCATATTTCTGTAAAATTTCTCATTTTGATAAATATAAAATTATTTAATACTTTATATTAGTTAAAGAGTATTTTTCTTTAACATCACCTCTAATGTTATCACAGTACAAGCTTGTTATTACAAGCTCATCATACCTATACCTTAACCTATACCCACAGTTAAATTTTTATATCAGAGTTTTTCTTCCCAATATAACCTGCCCCAACATTTAATCAGTTTAACTTAGCCGTCAAGGCATACTTTGAGCATTAAATTTGGGAATTCACAAAATTATGAATTAAAATACCTTTCGAAAATAATCAGATGCATAAGAAAGTGACTGTTGGATATCTTTTAATTCAGAAACAACCTCTTTAGTATGCCCTAAAAATGAAATGTCAATAAATAGAATAAACTATGTGATGTAATAATAACATGTCAAATATTGTATTTATGTAATTTGCCGATAATAAAAAATTTAAAGCAACTTGAATACAAAAAATTTGTAGTATTGTAACTTGTATATAAAAAAATTGGCATGATAATGGCTAGAAGAAGGCAAACTTAGTCACTAAACCCTGATGTCCAGGGCTAGAACAAGGCAAACTTAGTTAATAAACCCTGATGCAAGATTATGAGTTATAGTTTTACCAAAAACAACATGTTTAGCCAGATACTAGATCTGCCAGTATTTCTGTTATATTCTGATCTTAGTCCAGTATTAGATCAGCACATCAGATACCATCATAATATTAGGGTTTACTGGAAAAAAATTGTTTTACCTCAAAGTAAGTTAAGTTCATTATGGTACCATTAAAATTATTATTATATATTACCATTAAAAGGGTACATAAAACAATAATGTTCAAACAACCATCTAGCAAGAAAAAAATCTGACAAAAATAAATAAAAAGTAAATAATTAAATACTAAAATCACAAATTGATATTTAACCAGTCCAAGATAACTGTATAGCTCTATACTCTATAGCTCTATACTCTATAAATATACTCTATAGATATACTCTATAGCTATACTCTACAGATATACTCTGAAGATATACTCTATAGCTCTATACTCTATATAACTCTATACTCTATAGTCCAAGATAACTCTATAGCTCTATAACATGATGAAGCAACAAATTATCCAAGATTATTAAAACTCTAGTTCTAATTAAAACAAAGGCTGAAACAGCCTTTATTTTAATAGGAACTAGATTCTATCTGCTTACAGTCAAAATTGCTATTAACATTATGTTTCCCAAACTAAAAAATGCTGACAATTACACAAGTAAGAAAATGCGTACAACTTTAATAATTTGTATGCATGAGCACAAAATTGATACAAATTGATTTCTGCAATACCTGAGTAACAGCCAAAGCTTTGTTCAAGTTGAGGAAAAAGTAATTGCAGTGTCTTCATCATTTAAATATAGAAAACTTTTGGAGGAGTTTAAAAGATTATATACTTCCAATTCTGCTCTGGAACGAGCATCAGTTGAGTCTGATCCACTGGATTTGAAATAAAGTAACCTAAAATAGTACCTGAGTGTACAAGTAATCATTTAAGTATTGAAGAAGACCTTGATTATGTTATTAAAGAGGGACACTGTTACAACAAGTTAGATATGAGATGTTAGGACACTGTTACGAGTTAGATACCAATATATATATATTATATCAGGGCCTATTCTGGGAAAAAAATTTGGGCGGCAGTACCCTCTTGTTCTGGTGAAATTTATCAGAAAATCAGTTGCCGTAAAAAAAGCAAAAATTTATCAGAAAATCATGTTGCCGTTAAAAATGTAAAAAAAATAAAAAAAATCCTCAAATTTTAATTTAGACAGCGCCCAAATATGGTTGACGCTGTCAAAAAAGGTCTAGCTCTTTGTATATATATATATATATATATATATATATATATATATATATATATATATGGGCAATTCCACGCCGTTGAGGTAAGACATTAGAGACAAGAATTAAAGTATTGCTAATGGTTTTAAATAACTTTTAACCTAATAAATATGAATTTGATCTAGCATATTGCACCATAAAACACTGTCAGAACTTATGTAGATTACTTTTCATTCAACTTAAAAGTAATTTTGCGTTCAGAACAATAAAATTAAGCAAAACAAAAATAGCATATACTCTTATAAAATTCTCTAATAATGCTAAATATTATAAGTAATAATGCTAAACATTATAAATGGAGTTATTCTTAAAGCATAGGTCTTAGATATTAAAATAATATAAAGTTTTTGGTATCCAAACATTTATTATGCATAAATTTTCTTAGCTAAATCAAAAGATATACATGTTGCCGTCAGACAAAACCATTTGTTGCGTTCAAATATTCTGTATTTATAACAAAATTGAGTACATATATTTGTCCAAAAATGTGTTTTTACAATGTTCAACAGAAAGTTATACAAAGACGCTCATCTTAAGCTACTTAAATAGTTGAGTGTTCTTTTGGGAAGTGGCGGATAGATCCAATAATTTTGGGAGGTATGCAAACAATTTCCTAATGAGATTACACTGCAATGTCTTCAGTTGGAGGGTAAGTGTTAAAAGTATTAATTTATATTATATATAACAAGTAAAATAATAAAAAATATTAAGTATCTTTAATGTAGTGAATGCTTCAAAAATTTTCTAATCTCAAATTTTCTAATCAGCATTTCAAAAATAATATAGCCTATGAATTGTAAGAAAAAAAAAGTGGTGATGTTTATGCTCAAGTCTTATTTTATGTACTTTAATGATTGTCTTAGAGACTTATTATTGTTATTAGGAAGACTATTAATTTTATTTTTGATGATACGCTTCCACCATTGTTGAAAAAGTCTGATATTACTCCTTGCTTTAAAAAAGACAGTTCAACCAATATATAAAGCTAGAGTCTGATAATTATAATTTTTGATCTATCAAAAGTTTTTTAATTATTTTTATACCAGCAAATTTTTCTTTTTTTTGAACCTCAATTAGATGCCTGATTGTGTGTAAATGGAAAATGAGAACTTTGAATTTGCTTCACAAAGCAGTGCTCAGAAAAATAGGAAAATTTGAAAAAATTGTTGCATAAATTCAGTAAAGAACATTATTATAACTTCCTTAAACCCACCATTCCACTGTTCAAAAGTTACTTCATCTGCACTATCCCCCAGTTCCATCCAGCATTCAGTAAACTTCTCATGTTGAAGATTACCACAATGTTCACAAAAAAGAAACATACACTTTTTGTGGGATGGATCGAAAACAAACTTTTGATGTACAGGTTGACCAAGTATAGTGGCGAGTGAGTTGATCATAAACTGAAAATTCACATGTATAACACACACGCATACATTTGCTGAAATTTCTCTTTGGAGCTTAACAAGTGAATTTTGAAAATTTCACAGACACACCAGCATTGTCATTCTTGAATATTTCAAATGCTTCATTCAGTGTGAATAGCAATCGACGAGTTTGTCTTTTTTCCTGAGTGACTTTACTGATAGTAACATCTTTGATGCCAGGTGCCTGACAAAAAATATCTTCGCATTCATAAAATTTATGAATTAGTAGAGTGAGACAATTCTTCTGTTCTATATGTGAACTACTTGGTCAATCATTATAAACTAGTCGCAAACCAATCCTTTTGCTCACTTCTACAAATACAATCTGTTGACAGTCTTCACCCATTGGTAAACTCTTCATAACTTTGTTCACTGCCTTACCATAAGACTGCGGTGTATGTTTGTCAATCTGTGGATGTATTTTCTGCGTCTCTCTTCCTTTTTTTTTTCTTCTCTATCCCTTTTACGTTGTTCTTTTAATTGATCCCATGTCATATTTTGTCTCAAGGAGCGTACTCAGTTCATTTCTTTCACTTTTTAATCTGGATGAGAGTCGAAAATTTTTTTGAAGCTATATCACACATCTAAAATAAAATAGTATTATCTATCCCATATCTAAAATAAAATAGTATTAAAATATAAATGATGACAAAATATATGAATAATCATGTTAAAAAAAAGTGTATATATATATATATATATATATATATATAATATATATATATATATATATACACACCTGTGTGTGTGTGTGTGTGTGTATATATATATATATATATTTATACATACACAGCTTTGCAATGACATCGCATATGGATGTTTTTTATTTAACGGTAAAAAAAGGAAACAAATAAAATAAAAAAAATATATATATACCAAATTATAAAACAAAATGAAGTACAAACAAGATCAAAAGATATAAACAAATAAAGATAAAAAACAAATCAAAATAACATAGCAAATAGAAAAAAAAAAGATTCGTTAAAAGAAAAATAGTTCGAAAATGTAAAATAAAAAAAAAATAAAAAATACAAAATGAAATACGTTAGTCTGCTAGAAACAATATCATTGAAAGAAAAGAACAAGAAAAAAATTTTAACTTTTGTTTAGTGAACACATTGTTTATATTGATGTGTATATTTATTGTTATATTTATTGTTATGTTGTGTATTTTTGTGTATGCATTAAATGCATTTTTTACTTTTATTAACCTTAAGCGCTTTTTAATTTATATTTTCTTTATTTGTTTATTATACTTACAATATAATTTTCGTTATTATATTATATAAACTAAAATTATTATATTTATTCTTTGTAGTCTTTTATCGAAAGTCGCTTTTATGTCATTGTTATTTGTTACAATTTGTCAGTTTACTACTGTTTGTAATTGTGACTATGTATATATAATTGATTGCTGTATGGAAGATTGTATTGATTTATTTTAATTCTTTTAGTTACTGGTTTTAGAATTTTTGTTGACGTAATTAATGGACAGCCTTCTATTAAATATTTATTTAATAATTCCGCTATATATGTAATGTATTTATTATTGTCATGTTTTTATTTTAATCATAATTATTGGGTGTTAATTATACTTACTGGTAATATTATTTTTGTTATTCTTATTATTATACAATTATTTTTATTATTGTCCTATTGTTAATTTATTGCTATTTTTATTATTATTATACTATATGTGCCTATAATATGTTTTATATCATCAAAGAGGTTTTTACTTTATATTAGTTTTAACAACTATTTGTAAATGACCGTGGAAATTAGATCTTTTTTCCAGAATATACATAATTGATATATATATATATATATATATATATATATATATATATATATATATATATATATATATGTCATTAGAAATGAAACTCTTTCTAAATAATCAAAATTGCCATTTTCATATATATATATATATATATATATATATATATATATATATATATATATATATATATATATATATATATATATATATATATATATATATATATATATATATATATATAATATAGTATCATTAGAAATGAAACTCTTTCTAAATAATCAAAATTGCCATTTTCATAAAGGGTTGAGAGAAAAAGGGTTGTTTAACTACAAAAAGACAGTAACTACAAAACAAAAGTCAATTACAAAAAGACAGTAACTACAAAAGAAAGTTGTTTTTGGATAGTTAAATTTATTTAGAAAACCCTTACATTTATTTAATATTTATTTGTACAATGACTTATATAAATTTTATAAAACTTTTTTTGTGGATTTAACTCTATTTGTTAAGAATACTTAATTCTATGATATTTCAAGGGAATATATATAATTAAATATCTTTAACAACAAGAGTTATTCCCATAAAATTAGGTTTCATTTTAAAAATTTATATAATTAAACCTCACCTAAAGATGAATTATATGCTAAGAACTTTTTTCTCTGAAATTTTTTTTCACAGAATGGGCCTATCAGTGACTGGTGAACTTTAACTCAGGCAAAACTCAATGAGTCATCTACTGTTTTTTCTTTTAAGATTAACTCTTACTTTGGATCTTTCTTTGAAAACCATATATCAAATCAATTGCAAAATTAACATCTGCTAAGGTTTATCTCTTTATTGTGCTTACAACTTTCTTACTCTATTCTTTATCTTCATAAGTCTCAAAATCGTCCTTCTAAATTTATTGTAAATTCTCAAATTCGTTCTTGGATTATTGTTGTCATACTTGGAGCAAATCTTTGAATGATGCCTTTTCTCTTTTAGATAAGGTGCAAAAATGCATTGTAAACATAGTTGGACATGTTCTTGCAGCCAACCTTCAACAATTGTCACATCGTCGTAATCTTGCTTCTCTTTCTTTTTTCTATAAATACTATAATGGGCAATACTCTAAAGAGCTAAAAATTTATTCTACTAAAATTCATTATTGTTACTCGTCATTCAAGTCTCGTCTTTTTACTGTGTTCCTAAGTGCTCCAAAAGTTCTTATTTGTCTAGTTTTTCCCCTCAAACATCAGTCCTTTGGAATTCGCTCCCTTCTTCTTGTTTTCCTGATTCATACAAAATGCAATCTTTTAAGTCATCTTTTAATCGTTAGCTTTGCAATAATCTTTGTGCAAATACAATTTATAAAAGATTAACTTCAATATTTTGCATTAGTTTATGAATATAACTTCATAAAAATATAAAACAATAACTCTAGGTATATTAAGAAACAGTGTGAAGTTATAATAACATTTTTCAAAAGTTAATAACATAATGTTATAACGACATAAGTTTTTTTTATTTTTTTTAATTTTAATTCACCTCCTCAAGGCCGAGAAGGCCACTACAGACGAGGACGCTATTTATTTTGTGGCTATAACCCTCTCTCAACTCTATAACTCCGAAACACGAACCTTGATGAACAAGGCTGCTGCGCGGAGAAACAAGTTGAGCGTGGTACTACCAAGGACGTGGTGGGGATCGAACCCGGAATCACTTGTTTACACCACTACCGCATTAAGTTAAAATAACAAGTTAATTGAACCATAACATAATTAATATAATTAATAATAAATAACATAATTAAAAACATAATTAAATAACAAACTAAAAACAACAAAATAAAATAATATAAAAAAAACTATGCAAATATTATGAAGCATGATAAACAACAATAATAATTATAACTTCACATTAAAGAGTTTTTTTTTAACATTAGAAAAAAATCATTAACAACCTGCTTTCAGTTTTTCTTGAACAAGTTCTATTTTGTTCTCAGCTTGTTCCTGAAGCTTTTCAGCATACTCTCTGTACATTCCAAAACCAACTAAAATCAATTCAAAGTTTTCTTTGTCTTCTTTATGGTATGTCAACATAAAATCAATCAACGCTTGCTTTAACCTTCCTTCCTTCGTATAGGAATATAAAGTTTCACTTTAAAGCTTATACATTTTGACATAAAGCATTAATTATTATATGATTTTATATCATTGACATACATGAAATCCTTTATACACAAAGAATATAAAGACTTTCAAAATGATGATACATACATTATATATTCCTTTTCTACAAAGGTATTCAAAATGATGATGGTTATACAATGTTTCAATAACATAAAACATCTCCTTAAAACGACCCACATGTGTTAACAAACGCACAAGCAGATTGTACTGATGACCGGCTGCCAATAAATTTGAGGAAATACGTGCAGCTCTCAAGATATCTGCAATCCCTTCCATATCACAACTAATTGTAGCACAATGATGAGCACAAATCAATAGATCAACTAAGTATTTCCAATCTTTAAAGAAAATCATATAAAGTAATTTTATAAATAATAAAAAATAAGCATTTAATAAAAACTTTTTACAAAAGTAAATAAATCCTAATGAGTCATTAAAAACATTTACTTTTTGGTCTCTCATTTATGCCTCTATTATTATTCATTCTTCTAGATACTTCATACACTTCGTTAAGAATCTTTTGACCAACACAAGAAGGCAAACTTGTTAACTGAAGTAGTGATACAATATCATCAAATGATGGCAGCTTCATACTTTCATTACTAGATTGATGAGTATCTGTCTCTAAATCAAATGCAAAAACATAGATATTTACACATATGTCTATCAGATTCATTGTTTTATTTAACAAAGTATATACCTATGCCACAGTCTATCCTGATCATGCTGATCATGGAGTCTGCAACAAATGTTACTACCTGAAATAAAAAAATGATTTATAACTTTTGGCAACAGGACAAACATTTTTCAAAAACATTTTAAATAAAATAGAAAAACAACAAACTTCTGTATTCTCTAGTGAAAAAAGATTTATAAATAGCTTGGATAACTGTTTTCGTTTATCAAAACCTGCTTCCAAAATTTTTTTTAAAAGATTAAATTTATCTTGCGAATTAATTTCATCATATGATAATTGCAATGCCTAAAAAAAAGTAAATACTAATAATATAATAAATATAGAACAATATTATAAAAAAAATAATAATTAAAAAAAGTATTACAGAATTGCTATTCTGTAATAATAGTAATGATAATAATATAAATAAAATAAATATATATTATCAAATTTATTTTTTCTTCATTTTTTTTTTGTTAAGTAAAGATTTAAATGATCTAAAAAACTAAATAATTTTTTTTTTCTGGTTATTTAAAACAAATTAAAAAATATATATATATAAATATCACCATTTAAATTAGCCACATAAAATTAATTAACTGTGCTATGAACTAGAATTACATAATGTTTTTATAGTTTAAAAACTTTAAAACTTTTTTTTTTGATTCAACAATTATTTGAATTAAACTATGTATTCCCAGCATCTATAAGTTTTATCACATGATCATAATTGACATGATTATATAAATTATATAAAAAATTATATTATTATATAAAATAATCATATAGTTATATAAAAAATTATAATTAATAACTAAATAATTGACTCAAAGTCAAAATAAAAGTTTTTTGTTCTATTTTTCTGGTATACAAGTTAGAGTGACCAAAAACTGACAGTAATTGACAGCAAATGATTTTTCAAAAACATAATAATTACTAACACTAGCAACTTTAAATATTAATAATTCTTTTTGACAGATTTTCTTCCCATGTTTTGCACGAAGGGTTAATTTTTCCAAAGCATTGAGAACATCTTCAATAAAAACAAAATCATGCATTTCAGAAAAAGGAGTAGAGTTGGAGTTAATACTAGATATGCTTGTTGTTCGTGAAAAACTTGCATCAAACACACTGGATGCAGAAACATGGTTACTAGTGGTAGAAGCAAGAATAGCTTTAACATTATTGCTAACAGACTCTACATTTAGTTTACCTTGTGCAAGCATCATGCATGTCTACAAAAAAAAATGAAACTATAACATTTAAAATAAAAACAGCACACATACATACATAAAAATGAAAAGAACCCATATGTGCATAAAAACAAATTTCATTTTTATTTTTTTTCAAATTAATGAACAAATATTTACATTTATTATATTTTTACAAAAAATATACAATTACTATAATATCAAAAAGGATACTATAAAAACATCAATCTGGCACACTCTATGTGTTAGTCAATGCTGACTGGTTAATATCCAGCTAAAACATCAGTTTACCTTTAATCCCTTAAATTACATTAGAAAAGAAGTTGAGAATGAATCCTATTTGATACTTTTTAAAAAATGACCTAATTAAAGACTTATTGATAAGTTAATCTAACTGATATTCATAACCTTATCAAGAAAGCTAACATGAGATTTTTGATACCTGCAAAAAAGTGATGATAATAATTCTGTAATTCATTTTTAAGGTTTCATGATAACTATAAAAACTATACGTAAAACTTATTTACTATTTTATCTTTCAGATGACTAACCCTTAAAAAAAACACTTACAAACATCAACTAAAAAAACACCAACTAACATATTTAAGTTTTATTATGCTATTATTTTGATTGGAATAAAATTTTGAAGTACGCGGTACACGATTACACCGTAATCCTATAAGAAGATTTCATTGTTAGTAAATGAAATATAAAAAAAACCTCTTATGAATTGAAAAAAGTGAACAGTTTGTTATATTAGGATACGAATGAATGCAGTGTTTTTAGAAAAAATAGGAACAGTAACTTATTTAGCATTAATCAATTTAAATATATAAGTGCTTGACTGGATCTTTTCTTTCCTGCCTGCTAGAAAATCAGATCTGTGATTCTAATTTTTAATAACTCTGGATTTTTACTCTTTTAATTATCATCTATTAGAACTATCAGCCTTCTCTCTATTATTGATCTTCAAGTTTTTTAAACCAACAAATTTCTAAAATCTCATCTTGTGTCTAATAACTTAACCCAATAATTTACTCTCTGACAATCAATAGGGTTTTTGATCTTCTCGTTCTACAACTAATTTACTAACTGCTGTGACTGAAAATTTTTATCAAGCATTAGATAGAAGCAAGTGATGCAAGAGGTATTGCTTTTGATATATCTACAACTTTCGATAAAGTTTGACATGCTAGTTTTCTACATAACCTAGTTTCATATGGTGAATCTGGGATAATTTTTGAGATTATTAAATCATTTCTTTCTATCCGCAGTATTACAGTCATCATTGAAGGTCAATACTCTTCTTCATTTCTAGTAACTTCTGGGGTACCTCAATTGCAAATCCTTGGTCCTGTATTGTTCCTTATCTACATTAATGATCTTTCTGACAATATTACTACTAAAAACAACTATTTGCTGATGATTCAACTTTATATTCCTATCTTGACAAAAAGTCTTCTCTTTTTGATTGCTTCGAACAGGCAGCTAATCTTGAATCTGATCTCCTTTTATTAAATTATAAGCCCAACAAAACTCAGTTATTTACTGAAAACAACTATTGCAATACTTTCAACATTCCTATATTGATGAATAGCTACCATCACACAGAGTCCGTCTCTTTATGCCTTCTTGGAATATCGTTCATTACTGACCTCTCATGGAAACCATATATACAATTTACTGCTAAGTTAGCATTTGCCAAGGTTGCTTCTCCTTATTGTGCTTGCCATTTTCTTCCTCCTGATTCCATTCTCTACCTCTACAAATCACTTATTTACCCATGTATGGAGAACTGTTGTCATATTTAGGCAGAATCTTCTAATAACGAATATTTCTCATAAAAAAGGTCCAAAAATGAATTGTAAACATAGTTTGACCTAGTCTACCTTCCAAATTTGAGCCTCTCGCTCATTGTTATAAGATTCCGCTTCTTTCTCTACTTTTCTACAAATGATATCATGGCCACTGCACAAAGGACTCCTTATTGTGCTTGCCATTTTCTTCCTCCTGATTCCATTCTCTACCTCTACAAATCACTTATTTACCCATGTATGGAGAACTGTTGTCATATTTAGGCAGAATCTTCTAATAACGAATATTTCTCATAAAAAAGGTCCAAAAATGAATTGTAAACATAGTTTGACCTAGTCTACCTTCCAAATTTGAGCCTCTCGCTCATTGTTATAAGATTCCGCTTCTTTCTCTACTTTTCTACAAATGATATCATGGCCACTGCACAAAGGAGCTATCATCTCTAGTTCCAACAACTAAAATTCATTCTGCTTGAATTGTCATTCAGAAAAGTCTCATCTTTTTACTGTATCTGTCCCTGCATGCTTTAAAAACTTTTATTCCTCTAGTTTTTTTAACCACACATTATCCCTTAGAAACTCTCCCATCTTCATATTTTCTTGACTCATACAACCTACAACTTTTTAAGTTTTCTATCCACCGCTTCCTTGCTCTTTAACTCTATTCTTTGTTTTCTAGTAACTTTCAACTTTATAATGGTTGCTTGCAGCATTGCTGGGAGTGAATCAGATTAAAAAATAACAACAACAATAATAAAAAAACAAAAACATTTTAATAAAAAGTTCATTTTATGTGCAAAGAACACAAATGTTGGATGGAAACTAACTCTTCATGCAGAGAAAATTGTTCTTTATTGTCTTTAGGTGCTTTACTACATTCTGTTTAAATTAAAATTTAAATGTCTTATCTGGGGAAAAGCTTAGAAAGAATGGATTTAGCAATTTTCACAAGAATAGCATTTGAAGGTATGTTGAAAATTTCATGCATCTTGTGAAAGCAATTTTGAATTGAAAAGACATATGTACTTTTTTTGGTTTAGTTTGTTAATCTGAAACTTGAAATTTCCCTCTGAAGTTAAAAGGTCAAAATATCTATTTTTTTTTATCTATATAAGGTTTGGAGACATATTGACCATCAGGCACTATGATTTTGAAAAAGCTGAATCATTACGAATAAGGTCATCTGAATCATTTCCAATAAGGTGTTCTTGTTTGACGGTCCAAAATAAGAGGAAAAAGGTATTTTTGGTTTTCTGGAGATTTTTAAAACAACTTTTAAAAGATTTTGGCATCTTTTTTAATCTGTGGTTGTTTTATTTTATGTTTTCAATCAAGGTTTATGCTATTACAGATTCTGTGATTTTAATAAAGTAAATAAAAAAATAAATAAAAAATAACAGTTTTTATTTTAAAGTGAATTAAATATTTTAATAATAAAATATATCAATTTAAAAGTGAATTATTCTATCAAATAAATAATAATATATAATATATTATTATTTATACTATCAAAAATATCAATTTTAAAGTGAATTATTCTACCAAATAAATAATAATAATACATAATATATTACTATTTATACTATCAAAAAAATCAATTTTAAAGTGAATTATTTTATCAAATAACTTTTCAAATTAAAATCACCAGCATATTAGTGAAAAAAAACAAAAAAAAACAGTAAATTCAACAAAAAATTAAAGCCCAACCTCAACTAAAAAAACCCTAAATAGGTTTTATTCTGTATTTATGTTCTTAACTTAAATTAACTTAATTTCATTCTTAAGTTAAATTAACTTAATTTCATAAGAAAATAAGTACATTAGTTAAATAAAAATAAAGAAACAATCGTTTCTTTATTTTTACTTAACTAATATACTTATTTTCTTATGAAATTAAGTACATTAATCGACAACCCATGACCACACCAACCTACACAATCATAATCACTCCTGGATTCTCTTACTATTACCAAATCTCTCTAAATAAATGAATATGAACATAAACACTCAATAATGTTGAACTTTATTAACATAATTTTATATATATATATATATATATATATATATATATATATATATATATAATCTAGGTGATGACATGACAGCTCCTTAGTCTCCTCAGGTTGATTGGATTCTTTGACTATACCCTGACTCCTCCTTATTCTGGAAACCTTAGTATTGTAGCTGCAAAACATTTTCATCATAAGATCATAGTTTGTCTGGGGCCTGAAGAATTTCATTGCGCAGTGCTCTCTGTTGTTTTAGTATAAAATATTAATGATAGGGTGTATGAAATGACAATTTTTTACCAAATAATTTACTGTTTTTTCTATTTTTAAGATGTCATTTAAATAAATAAAACACATTTGACCCATTTAAAGTATAATTTTTTAAATGAAAACAACATTTTAGAAAAGTTATTTATTTGACATTAAAACTAAAAGTACTAGATGATGTAGTTTTCTCACTTTCAACACAACTAGAAATTACATTTTTTTTTTCTCGAAAACAAAATAGTTTAATAAACTCTTTATTAAACTAAACTCTTCATTTTAAATAAATAAAATTGTCCGCATATATAAATATAAGTAAGACGTTTTCTCTTCCATAAATCATCTTTTTACACGCTTACATAAAATTAACATAATACAACAATCCACAAAAATGTACATTAAAAAACCGCTTAAACATAATAAAAATAATTACTAAAATACAAACTATTAAACTAAAATCACATAGTCACCATAGAAACTTTGCACAACAACATTAAAAGTTTAAAAAAGGTTTTAACAAGATTCAAATGATTTAAAACCATTCTTTTAGTTTCTTACCATTCTGTTAGTCTTTTATGCATCTGTGTTAGTTTTTTATGCATCTTTGTTAGTTTTTTATGCATCTTTGTTAGTTTTTTAAAGCAAAATCTACGATTGGATATCATTTATAATAAAATTACTAGCACCTAATGTGCTCAGTTGAGCTCAGAATCTTAGTCATAAATTTTTATCTATATATGAAAGTATAATTTTAAGTTGATTACATATGCGGCCTAGGGTTTTTCTGCTTGTGTAAAGGTAAGTGTTAAAAAAAGGCTGCATATAATAAGGGGTTATATTGAAAAACGCTTTGAAGTAATGCAAGCATAAAAAATAAATTTTCATATCTCTTCTCCTTATTTCAAGATATGATGTCAATGGACTAATATGTCGTTAAGAAATGAAAATGTTGTAAAGTTGTTTTACTGGCCTCATGTTTCTTTTTTAAATGATTTTTTGGTTTTGACCAATATTTGAAAGAAAAAATATTGTCATTTTTGTGGTAAAATTAATTTACTGAGCTCAAAAATCATAATAGGGAAATTTTTTTTATCAGTTTTAGAGGTTTCTTAGCTCAGGGGTCTCTAGATTACATTTATAAAAAAAAATTACTCTAACAAAGAAGTTGAGAGCAATTTTGCTCACCTCTTGTCACCTCTGGTCATCTCTGCTCACCTCTTTTCCACTGTAGAGCGGTTGGAAAGAAATGGTTCAATAATTTTAAATAACTTGTCAAAAAAATGGAATCTACTTCTTTGGGATGACAAATAAAAAAAAAGTTAACTGTGAATAGTTCTGCCTCTTGATCCTTTTTTTTTGATCCTTTGGAAAAGTAATAAAGTAAGAGCTATGTATAAAGATGCAATGGTTTGTTAATCTTTATTAATCACACTGTTAAAAACTTATTAACCTGAGAATAATAAACCTTAGCACCAGGCAACAACTTTTTTGGTGTTAGCAGTTAGAGGTATTTGCAGTTAACACATAAAAAAATAAAATTTAGAAGATTCAGACAACTAACATGTAAATATATGTAAATTAGGTTGGGAGTTACTAGAAAACAAAGAATAATGTTAAAAAGCAAAGAAATGACAGAAGAAAAGTTGAAGGTTGTATAAGTCAGAAAAGAGATTCAAAAAGAGTTCAAAAGCATTAAGGTGCAGGGAAAAGAACTAAATAAATAAAAGTTTTTAGTGCATGAAGGGACAGATTCAGAAAAATTATGCAACTTTGCTAAATGACAAGTCATCTGAGAACAAGTATTTGTTGATGGAACTACGTTGAAGCTTCTTTGAGCAGTGACCATAAGTAGTATTTGTAGAAGAGAAAAAGAGATGCAACCTTATGATGATAGGAAAAAGGCTCAAATGTGGAAGATAAAACAGGTCTAATTATGTTTACTATGCATTTTTGGACTATGTCTAGAATAGAGCATCATTGGAGAAACCAGCTCAAATATGACAACAGTATTTGATACAGAGACAAATAAGAGATTTGTAGATGTAAAGAATGGAATCAGGAGTAAGATAATGGTGAGCACAATAAAAAAAAAGCAACCTTAGCAGATGATAACTTTGCAATTGATATATATTGAATTCAATATACGGTTTCCATGAGAGGTCAGTATTAAATGATAATTGAAGAAGACGTAAAAAAGAGAACTCAGTGGAAGAGTTGCTATCATTTATGTAGGAATGTTGACAATATTACAATAGTTGTTTGCAGTAAATAGATGAGTTATGTTGGAGTTAAAATTTACAAGCCACTGCAAGCCCCAAGTTACAGAAGTGAAATAAGATTGGTTGGCTGTTCAAAGGGATTGAAAAGAAAGGAGTTTTTGTCAAATATAAAGTTGAGTTGTCAGGAAATTTAGATATTAGATAGTCAGTAAGATCATTATATAACCAAAGATAGAATCATGAGGTAACCTAGAAGTTACCGGAAATAAAATGTTTTCAAGGATGACTTTAATACTGCAGTTAAAAAGTTTTCAAAAAGTTCTCAAAAACTTTTAATAATGATTTCAAAAACCTTTCCAGATACACTATACAAAGCAAGCTTATGGAAAAGATTATTGTGTAAGAGTTGGGAGAGGGTTGTAACCACAATTAAAGTAGCCTCTCTGATTGTAGCAGTCTTCTTAGCCTTAGGGAGATGAACTAACATAAAAAAGTTATAATAATAAAAAACATGGCACTGTTAATACCCGACATTTTACAGCTGCTAATGGAATCTTAAAGATCAGAGTACTAAAAACCTTATTAACGGCCATTAAACTGAGTTTTAATGGTGTACCCTCATTAATACTGAGACAAGTAGTGTTCATATTACCCAAATTTTTGGAGTCTTTATAATATATACTGCAATCTACAGACTTTATAATTTATTTCATGCGCATTTAATTCTTAAGAGTTTCTGTATATGACATCATTGTAGAATCTTTTTCTACTCCCATCGGCAAATCATATTTGTATAACTTTTCACGAAATAAAAAATAACAATAATACTTGGTTTTTAGATTTTTGTAACGCAACTTGTTTTTAGCAATTGCAAGTATTCTTTTTCATATCCAAATCGCAAGTATTTGTTTTCATATCAATATCTTTATCAAGATATTGATAAAAAGTTAGCTTAATTTCATATTTTAATGAAATTAAGATGTATATTATAACTATTTTATTAATATAAATATTTTATTGATAATGATAAATATTCTTTAATAACTAGTATTATTTTACAGTTATTTCATATTACATTTTAAATATTATTTTATGTTACCAGTGCAATATTTATTTTTATTTTAACACAACAAAGACATTATACAATTGTTATAGTCTTACTGTATCCATAGTTACACCAGTGTTCAACACCAACACTCAAATAACTTAATTTTGACACTTTAATTTCAAATTTTCAGCTGATACCATCTTTAACTATTTTGTTTTTTATATCCTCACAGATTTTCTTTGACTTTTTTTTTATTAAGAGATTCTAATTGCTATGGAATTACTAACATTTTTTAGATATCAAGATTTAAATTAAAAATATAACATGATTACCTTTTTATCCATATTCAAAATAAAATTTACCAGTTTGAACTAAATCAACATAATTATCAATATCTAATAAATTTTTTTTTAACAATTAGCCATATTAATTTGCTTAAATATCCTTAATAAATGCTGTCATTTATATAAAATATTTATTACTCAAAACATTATAAGAAAAAATTTCATAACGATAATCAACCACCATAAAACTAGAAAAAAATCTCATTTTTTAAATAAAAATAAAAAAGATTCAAAATATATAAATATGACGTCCAACTTCTTTATATGTAGCTGTTTGCTATAAAACCCCTAATTTTATTTAGCTTCGGCACAAACCAGGAGAATATTGGTCACCTTATATAAAACATTCAATAGAAAGTAAAATTATACTTTCATAAAAATCATACAATCAATAAATAACGCTTATTTTAAAAAATTAATTTAAAAATTATACATTAACTATAAGTTTAAAAATTATTCTGACAATTGTTAAAAAAAAGTTGTAATACATTATTTTATTTTTAATTTTATTAAGAATATTTTTTTTGGATTTAGTGAAAAATAACACAAATAAATATAATTTGCTGATTGTGGGAGAAAAAAATTCTTTATTATGAACACAACTTGTCTCTGCACTTGAAGATCTCTTTAGATAACAGAATACAAAGATAACAAAGATAACAGAATACAGAGAAAACAAAGATAACAGAAAAAGCAGTGTAGCCACTACCAGAAAAAACACAAAAAAACTTATGAGTAGAGTCAAGATTTTTCAAAGTGTATTTGTCATAGTGTATTTGTCATTTGTATTTGTCAAGTGTATTTGTCATAGTGTATTTGTCATAATGTATTTGTCATGTGTATTTGTCATACTTAGTTAAGAATATTTGTCATAAGTAAAGTCAAAATTTGTTATCATGAAGAATGATATTTATTGCTACCAATATGATACCAATTTTTTCAATTTTTCATAAATTTATACTAAACAATTTATTTTTACAGAAATTTATGATTTGATATGATTTTAATTTATAAAAATTTGAATATAAATTTAAAAATAACCTTAACAATATCAAGATGAATTGAAGTTCTTTTAAATAAAATTGCAATTCTTAAAGCTTCAGCAACAAAATCATGATCAAGTAAACAATTTATAAGGTCATGGTAAGTTTTTTCTTCCTAAAATAAAAAAATTTCAGTGATTAAAAAAAATGGAAAATTAAAAATAACAAATGTTTATAAGAAAAAGCATGTAACTACACAAAATAATAAAAAAAAAATCAAGCCTAAAAAACATAACAACCAAGTCTAAAAATATATAATAATTATGTCTAAAATAAATAATAATATTTGTTAAAATAAATTATAATATTGCCTAAAATATATAATAATCAAGTTTAAAAAAAAAAAAAAAGTTAACGTTTTCATAAATCATCTTCATAAAAGTTCATAAAAAATAAAAATAAAAATAAAAAAATAAACAAAGAAAAACCTGCTCAGTAAAATCAAATGCAACAATGTCACTCGCAGTATCAATACTGCTTTCATGCTCAAAATCATACTCTCCTGTTGACGTATGGAATAAAATAAAAGATTGTTCCTTTGCAAATTCATTAATTGCTTCCACTTGATTCTAAAATATTACAAAAACAATAAGATTACATATTAGAAAATGTGACCATAACACTATGTATGTGTGACAATAATGAGACAATTAGGACAGATTAAAGAACCATATTAAAATATATATAAAAAAAGCAAATGCAAATCTCACTGGAATTCCAACAAGTGACTTTATTTTGTAGAACCACATAAGTTTATCCAACTTAAGCAGCTTGTTGATCTCCACTGATTTGTTAAATGAGAACCATTTTAATGAGTACATAAACAAAGAAGCTTTCTCCCCAAACGAAAATGAATCATTATTTGCTTGATTCTATGTAAAATATTAAAACATTATAATAAAGTGTCTGATAAAAATTTAAAAATTAAAACAAAATTAATTTAAGTTTACACATAAGATTTAAGTTCTTTTAAGTTAACGAATAAAAATAAATTATAACATAATTCTACAACTTCTATAGCTAAAACTTAATAGTAAAAGATATAGAAAAAAATAAAACTCATAGTTATATTTAATTTTTATAACGTAATTTAAAACTTTTAATGTCAAAATAAACTTTATCAACTAACATAATTTGAAAACCAACAATTTATAAAACAGCAAGCTAATACTAAAAGTTAACTTTAATCATGGTGTCTACAAACTAACATGTTTATATGGAGGTAGGTAAGGATGTACATAATGTAAATTTTACATAAACAGCCATATACCAGATATGTAAACCTATATCTATCTAGATATGCTGAATAGATTAACATATACACGAATATTAATTTTTTTTCCAACAAAAAAATCACATTAATTGATGTGAAGATTATAAAATCTGCATATAAATTATTTAAAAACATTCGCCGAGTGGTCACACATGAGCAGTGGGTTTTTAAATAAACTTAAAATAAAGTTAAGTGGTACTCATCATAGGTGAGGTTTCAAGAAATTGTTGTCAGTGAATTAGTTTAAACAATCAAGATATTTCTGTTAAATATCTGGTGAATAAATATCTGGTAAATAAATATCTGGTGAATAAATATCTGGTAAATAAATATGTGGTAAATAAATATGTGGTAAATAAATATCTGGTAAATAAATATCTGGTAAATAAATATCTGGTAAATAAATATCTGGTAAATAAATATCTGGTGAATAAATATCTGGTAAATAAATATGTGAATTCACAAAACTTTTGTTACTCATGCATAATTTACCAAATTAATTTTTTTGTAACTCTTGGTTTTCTCAAACATTTTGCAGCATTTACGTAAAGTTAAGGTTGCGCAAATGGTATGTTTAACTTATGCAAAAAAATCTATAGATTTTTTGCATAAGTTAAGCATACCATTTGCGCAACCTTAATGCAAAATTTTTTTGCAAAAGTTAGAGTTAAATTATAAACAAATCAGAAATCATTCATTTAAATTTTTAACTAAAACAAACAAGGTATAAATGTATTGATAGAGCAACTATTATATATGCTCAACTACTTTTGCAATTACTATAGTAGCTTTTTTTTTAAAGTTTAAATCTAAGAACATTAATTAGTAAAAATAAATTTAAACTTGACAAAAAATTTTGAAATTAAATTTAAACAATTAATATATAAATTTTAACTAAAATGTTAGTTAGGGCTTTTAATAATTTATAATCTAATTGAATGAAAACTGCTATTAGAGTATGAATTACTAACTGTAATAAATATTTAATAACTACAATAAATTTAACAACATCTATTTAACAACTACAATAAATTAAGGCGGTCAAATTTTTAAAATTGTTTTCTTTCATATTTGATTTTTTTTTTAAATAATATTAAAAAATTACATGAAAAAAAAAAAAAATCAAAATTTCACATATGGACCTTAGTTTTGTGTTGCAAAACCTAAAAAAGTTAAAACATTCAATAATTATTGAGATAATGGTAGATCCTATGGAAGTTCAAACTTTCAGTGTTTACTTATAATATAATAAGATTTGTATTTGTTCATTTCTAAATATTTTTCACTCCTCAATGTAAGAGCATTAGTCTAATTTTATAAAAGCAGCAGTCTAAACCTATATAAGTTTTTTATAAGGTTTGTTTAACTATTTAAGATCCATACAGAAATTAATACTCATGTTTAGCAAAACTGAAAAATTTAAATATTTTACATAAGTATCTTATAAAATGCAAAAATTATGGTAACAACTTCAATAAAAATATCAATTGGAAGTTTAAATTAAACTAAAAATTTCCAGCATCATAATTTTTTTATTTTTTTATTTATATTAATTTACTTCCCCAAGACCAAGAAGACCACTACAGATTAGGAGGCTACTTAATTGTGGTTATAACCCTCTCTCAACTCTATATCTCCAAAACACGAACTTTGACTAACATGGCTGCTGTGTGGAAAACAAGTTGAGCGAAATAGTGGGGATCGAACTCGGAACCACTTGCTTATCAAGCAAGACTCTACCACTACACCACTACTGCATTTACCACAAGTTATTCCGTCACTTTATCTTGATCAACTTAGCTTTTTTTATTTTGCTCTAATTTGTTTTCAATGTTTAATTTATCACTTGATTTGATTTGCTACATTTTTAATCTTTCAACCATCTTTTTGATTGCAAACATATAATAATTACCAGGATTATTATTTATAAACATTTAGTTTACCACTTTATCTTTTGGACACCATTCTTAAAGTTTTGCATTTTAAGAACTTTTATTGTTTTGAGTTTTTTTATGAAAGCACCTTTCTAGCATGTTTTCATCAGATAAATCAATAAATATTGGCTTGATTATATCCCTAATTACAACAGGCCGTCTTGGTTTTTCTTTATACACATGTTTCGACAATATTGTTATATGGACCATATATAGGAATATGGACCAGGTATTAATGTAGAATCAAGACATTCAATGTTCCACAACACATTGAATGTCTTAATCTTGAAAATGCCTCAAATTCACAAAACTAAAGCTTCTGTAATGTCCTTTTCCAATTTCATGCATTGCAATTACTAAATATTAGACATTTTATTTGAAACTTTTTTACTGGTTAGAACTTCATGATCCATAAACACTCAATACAATTGAATAGCAACAAAGAAAATTAAACCTTTTTTTTTAATGATCTATATTCATGTTAAAAGACTTCATCTCACAGTCAGGGCACTTTCAAACAAAGGCAAGAGGCTGTATATCAACATCAATATTAACATCAATTAAAAGATTATTGGACTCATTTTGATTACTGTGAGGTTGTGGAATAGCTTCATCATTGACAATAAGATTGTAGATTGAAATTGCAAAGTTAGGAAAAAAATAATGATGATTCTTCATTATAAAAGTATATATATTTCAAGAAAAAAACTGGCAATCTTGATTTTTTTCATCCTTTTATGAAAAAACTCTAGAAGCACTAGTTTTTCTTCTCCTCAAAAAGTTTTTATATTGTACAATTAGAAATAATATATTTATTCTCACTAAAAAAAAAAAAACAAAGAAAGAATAATAAAGAAGTATACTCAGGCTATATTTAACATTAATAACTTAAAAAGATAAAATTAGCTTTCAATCTACACAAGAAATTAAGTAACATTTTAGCAGAGCGGTTCGGTTATATAATTTTTATGGCAAAAAAAAAAAGCTAAACTATCACTTAGTATTTTTTAAAACCTTTTTTTACTGCTCAAGCCGTTCAATAAGAATCAATAAATGATGTATAATCATTGCAATGCTATTTTTAAGGACTAATACACTTTAGTACTTTATTTTAAATTAAAAATCAAAGCATTTAGACCATACATAAACAACATTTCAACAGAATATGTGCAAAAAGATTCCTTATGCAGTAATAACTTAATTTATAACTACTTACTTTTAAGTAAATTAAAAAACTACTTTTTATCAAACTTTAAAAAAATGTAGTTTAATCTATAAACTAAACAATAATTTATAGAAACATATACACTATATTCATAACAATTTTTACAAATCTCAACAAAAAAAGTCAGTATTAGTGAGTTGCGCAAATATTTATATATTAATATAAGTTTTACACCAAAACTTTACAAACTTCATAACATAAGTTTTCTACCTAACGTAACTTTTATTGCTTAAATCAAGTTGAACATTTTTTGAAGATGTTTTGTGAATACCATAATTTGAGAGATGAACTTACAAAAAAAAAAAAAAATCCAAAGTTTTGTACTAAGCAACTATGCAAATTTTGTAAATACAAAATTACTAAGTTTAGAACTTATGCCAAACATACATCAAATTTACGCCTAACTTATGCTTAAAATTGTTTTGTGAACCCGCACCCAGATCTGCAAGACAAAAAATTGATTGTTTAAAGAAAAAACACCAAAAATCTTACTGTGGATTACAAGCAATCTTTTAAAACTCATTTAAAATGCAATATACCTATCAAGATTTTATGTTATATAATTGAATATAATATAACTGCACTATATGATGGAATCCTATATGCCATTGAAATCTCAAGTTCTTGAATGAGGTTTTTGCTCAGTCTACACTTAAAAATGTTTTTTACAAAATTTATTGACTTCAACACTTTGTACAAGGTCTTTTTTTTTTTTTTTTAATTATCTTCGCTTCCAACAAGGCTGCAAGCAACCACTAATTAGTGTTGGAAGTTACTGGAAGAGAAAAGATGAAGATTGTAGAGCAAGATAACGATTGCAGACGACTTAAAAGATTGCAAATTAAAATTGAAGGAAGCGAATTCCAAAGAACTGATGTTCGAGGAAAAAAACTAGACGAATAAGAGTTTTTCGATCACTTAGGAACAGTAACAGAAAATGGATGAGACTTAATTGAATGACGAGTAACACGAGAATGAACTTTAGTAGATGGCACAAGAGACGCTAGCTCTTTTGAGCAGTGCCCATTATAGTATTTGTAGAAAAGAGAAAGAGAAGCAACATTACAACGATGTGACAGAGGTTGAAGGTTGGCTGCAAGAGCAGGTCCAACTATGTTTACAATGCGTTTTAGCAGCCTGTCTAAAAGAGAAAGGGCATCATTAGAAGACCCTCCCCAGATATGGCAACAGTATTCCATACAAGGCCGGATTTGAGATTTATAGAGATAGAGAATAGATTCCAGAGTAAGAAAGTGACGAGCTCGATAAAGAGAAGCAACTTTAGCAGATGCTAATTTTGCAACGGATTTGATATAAGGTTTCCAAGAAAGATCAGAAGTAAGAGTTAATCTTAGAAGATGAAGGGTAGGAGACTCATTGAGTACATTACTGTTCATAAATATAGGAAGGTCTAAACTATTACAATAACGATTGGCCGAAAAAAATTGAGTTTTATCTGAATTAAAGTTTACCAGCCACTGTAAAAATTGAGTTTTATCTGAATTAAAGTTTACTGAGCCCCATGCTGTAGCAGAAGTGAGATCCTTTTCAAGCTCAGATGCCCCCTGCAAGCAATCAGAGGGAGTTGGCTTCTTATCGTGACAAGAATATATGGTAGTATCATCAGCGAACAATGCCACCTTAGATGTGAGAATATCTGGAAGATCGTTAATGTAAATTAAAAAGAGTATAGGGCCAAGGATTGAACCTTGGGGAACCCCTGAGGTTACAGAATAAGAAGAAAAGTGCTGTCCATCAAGGACAACTTTTATACTACAATTGGAAAGAAAGGATTCAATAATCTTAAAGATGTTTCCAGATACACCGTAAGAAGAAAGCTTATGGAGAAGACCAGCATGCCAAACTTTATCAAACGCTTTAGAAATGTCAAGAGCAATGGCCTTAACCTCTCCATCTTTATCTAATGCGCGATAAAACCTATAGGTTATTACTGATAGCAAATCAGCCGTAGAACGAGAAGATCGAAATCCATATTGATGATCAGAAAGTAGGTTATGAGATTCGAGATGAGAGATTAAGTGTTTGTTAATTAAAGATTCAAAAACCTTGCTTATGATAGGAAGAAGACTAATGGGACGGTAGTTAGACAAATCGGATCGCTCTTCAGAACTTTTAAAAATAGGGATAACAGATGCTTTTTTCCAGCAGGTTGGAAAACAAGACTCTGATAAGTACTTGTTAAATAGTTTTAAAAGGATAGACAACAGCTCCGGAGAACACTTCTGCAAGACTATAACAGGTATGTTGTCCAGGCCGCAAGCTGTAGAAGAGTATAAGCGGGAAATCACTTTAGATACAGAAGCTGGAGCGATACGAATGTCGAGCAATCGATCAACCTGTTTGACAGCTATATTAGGTAGAACGCAACTAGTGGCATCAAGAGATGATATTGATGAAAAGTTGTTGGCAAACAATTCAGCTTTGTCTTTAGGGGAGGTGACAAAGTCTGAACCATACAAAAGAGGTGGAATTACAGACTTGCCCTTATTATTGATACTATTAAAGATTCTCCAGAAGTCACGAGAGCCTAATTTTTGTGATGAAATATGAGATTTCATGATCTGAGAATAACGGGCTTTGGCGTTAGAAAAAACCTTTTTACAATGGTTCCTAGCAGTAATAAACAGACGTCGGTTTTCTAGAGAATTGTTTTGCTGATAGATATGGAAGTAATGGTTTCGATTGGTAATTGCAGCATTACAATGTGAGGAAAACCATGGAGAAGAGTGAGGCTCAACCTGGAATCGTCGAGAGGGAATAAAAGATTCCATACCAGCCTGAATCCACGAAGTTATGTAAGAAGCACATTTGTCAACAGGGAGACGAAAGATTTCTAGTTAGGGGCCATCACGAAGAAAATCACGGAAAGAGTCCCTGTCAGCTTTAAGGTAGTTGTAAGATGTACGATGATAGAGGGATTCTGATGGTAAAGAAGAATGAGTAATAGTTTTAGAGAGACCAAACCATGATCAGAAGCACCTAAGGGTGAGTGTGAAGAAACTGAGCACTGACTAGGATCAGACACAAGACATAAGTCGAGTAGAGAAGGTAAATGATTTGGGTTGTCTGGAAAGTGAGTTGGAAAGTTGACTATTTGAGTTAGGGATTGAGAAAGACAAAAGCTACTCAGGTAGTCAGGTTTCCCGAACTCTGCTACCACAGAGTTCGGGAAACCTGACTACCAGCCAGCCTCAGAACCACAAAACTGAGTTTTAGAGCTGTACCTTCATTTGGAGATAATAGAATGAGTTGCCTAGTCATAAAAACAGAGAGACAAGCAAAACCCATGAATCGAGTCAAGAAGATCCAGCGTTCAACATCCTAAACTGGAAACAATGTATTAAAAATACATCTGCGCCAGCCTAATGGCTGAAGAAGGAGTGCAAGGAAGCAGGACATGAAGCAGAATGTACTGGGTTACATGTTACCAGTAGCAGGATAAACCTGACCTGACCAAGGTCTAGCTGTTTTGATCTAGAATCATGTCAAATTAAAGACCAGAAATTAGGATGTTTTTAAATTTTATTTAAAATGATATGAAGCAAACCTACTGAGCAAAAAGAGACCAATATTTTGTTTGAATTCTGTTGTTATTTGAATTTTGTTGAAATTTGTTGTTGTTTTGAATTTTGTTGAAATTTGTTGTTGTTTTGAATTTTGTTGAAATTTGTTGTTGTTTTGAATTTTGTTGAAATCTGTTGTTGTTTTTTATTTTGTTTTAAGTTAATTATCTAATTATCTAGCAAAGTTAATTATCTAACAATAACCTTAATCTTATAACCCAAATTTCCATACATATGCATATTTGTAATTCAAATTCGCTTGTAACCCAAATTTCCATACATATGCATATTTTGTTCAGTTATTTACAGTATTGAATTATATTTAATAATTTTTAACAGTAATGTTAGTAATAACTCTCACCATCTGACACTACCACATGAGCAGTAACTCTCAACATCTGACCACATGAGCATGAGAGTTATATGACATTAAGATAACAAAATAAAGATTATTAAAAAAGTAGTTACCAGCCCTCTTATTCATAAAACCAAGATAAATGAGTTTTGATCTTGTCTTGTTTACAATAGTAAAAATTTCAAAATAAAATTTCAAACAATAAAAAAAAGTTTAAAACAAATTGAACATGACTTGCAACATTATGTAAAATATGGTGCCACATATGCCTATAAAAACTTTTAGAGTTCAGAAAGGAGAAAGAAAAAGTGGAACCATATTAATTACAATTTACCTTGGAACTTTAAACCAGGCTTGTGGAGCCGAGCCGGAGCCATGGAGTCTTAATTTTTTGGTGAAGTCAGAGGCGCAAAAATCGAGCGGCTCTTGGCTCTCAGGTTTTTTTTAAAGGAATAAAATGTTTTTTTTTTACTGTAGACAAACTCTATTCATTCATTGTTTAACTAATTTGTTGAATGAATTATTTATTGAATTTCTATTTTTTTTTTAATATTTTTTTAAACAATTACAGTCTTGCCAAAATGTAATAAAATTGAATATTTTAACAATTTTGCACTCAACAAAATATTATCTTTTAATAGCATTTCCTAATATGATTTATTAAAAAAACAAAACAAGTAAATTATATATGGAAACATTCTTACAGTATTACATATATTGCTTTATATTATATTTTTATACTAATATTATGCTGTTGATTACTTGATGCGCGATTTAATGATCAAAGGTTATTCATATCTTAAAAATTATACTAAAGTATGCGATCGTGAAATTCGGAACGATGAATTTCGTTTTAAACTTGTCACAAACACATTAAATTTTTTTTTTTTTTTTTTTTTTTGTGTAATTAAATTAAGTATCGATAGTATTAACATCAACAGTCAATATATTTTGATGAGACTTTAATTAAGAGTTAAAATATTTCTCTTAATTAAAATCTCATCGAAATAGTTCAAAAAACAAAAAAAAATTTGCACAACTATCTACAAAATCCTTCTGCATTGTTACTTACTGACTGCTAAAACCTGAGCTTGAAAACTTTATGATTAAGTGCTTACAAAATTTAATGGCTTCATAATTATGGATGACAAAACGTACATCAAATGTAATTTCAAACATCTCCCAGGTCCAAAATTTTACACTTAAATTGTTCTTGGATGTGTCACCAACAAGTTTAAATATAAATCATTGTATAAACTTGGTAAGTAACTTCTCTTGTGGCAAGCGATATGCAACTGTGGTTTGAGATCTCGAGCTTTCATCACATCGTCAACTTTAAACTTGGATGTTTACATCAAGAAATTCTTGCAAAGACTGCCATTTTACCAAAGTCACAATATCCCCAATTGGTTCTGGCCTGATTTTGCTTCTTGTCATTATTCTAAGAAGACCGTAGAGTGGTACAATTCGAGAGACATTAAATTCATACCAAAAAGCTTGAATTCATCAAACTGTCCACAGTTCCGTCCCATTGAGATATTTTGGGGAATCGGCAAAGAAAATTTGCGTAAGTGTGGCAAAACAATAAGTACAGTTAAAGGTTTGATTATAAGACATTAGAAGGAAAAAAAATTGCAAAAGACACTGTGCAGAAGTTGATGTTGTTGATTAGTGTAAATGTTTGCTTATTTATTTGAAATAATGAAAAATATTAAAATGAAAAGCATTTTTATAATCTTCAAGTTTCTTAGATTAAAATAAATATTGAAGTTTTTGCATTAGTTTAACTATTTTTCATTTGAATTTTTGATTGTCAATCAAAAATTCAACTCAGTAAGGACGTAAGAAAGACATCTTTTAAATGTCTTTTGAACGCTTTGACATCTTTGGGACATTTAAAAGACGTCTTTTTTAAGTACCGTGTCCACTGGGTAGAATTATAACTAAAATTAGAAGTAAAAACTCTAGTTTTGGGTATATAATATATAGAAAAAAATCCCAAAAAAAACCCAAACAATTTTTCTTTTCAAATGTAATACCTGGTAGTAGAGTAGTGATAGTAATACCATAACCTTGTAATCATGAAAGTTGGTTAGAAATTAATTGCTGTAATTGGTTTGGATTTGGGTTTGCAAATGTAATCAAAAAAAATATATTCCAAAACTTGCGATTTTTGTTCACAAAGTACAGGAGCCGGAGCTGAGCCAGAGCAGAGCCGTAAAAAAAAAAAAAAATTAGGCTCCACAAGCCTGCTTTAAACCAAAAAAATTTGCTATAAGGAATACAAACATGTATTTTGTTAAGTTGCTGTTGTGCTTTTTCTTGTTTTTTGTTGAATCAAAAAAAACATTAAAATTAAATATTAAAATTAACATATTAAAAAAAATCATCTAACATCAAAATAAAAAGTAATAAAAATCACAATTGAATTTTCATTATCCTTAATAAAACAATTTTTTTCAAACACTTAAAAAAATTACTTCAAAAAAAGTTCCTGCAATTAATGAACCACAATTGTTTTCAAATAATCTGAAATCGATTTTCTTCCAAAATGACTTCCTTAAGAGAACATCATTCCATGAATTTGTTTTTTGTAAATAATTGAGTTCTTTCTTTACCTAAAAAAACTTCAAACTTTAAAACACTTCATAATACTTTTTATTTGAAACTTAAAAAAAATTTAAAAATTAAAAATTAAAGGAAAACAACAAATAAAATAACAACTAAAAAAAATTAAAAAGAATTTAATTATCATATTTTATTTCTTTAAAAATAAATTAAAAGTTAAAATAAATTACCAACAAAACAAATCTATAAAAATCTATAACTATCAAAAATGTATGCACAAAGTAAAAAAAAAATAATAAAAAACTTACTTCACATATAAGCACATTATCAGCAAATGGAAGTTTGAATAAATCTGAAAAAACTTTTGCTTGTTTATATGCTTGGTTCTGCAACAGTATTGTGAATACAAACTTTATTTCTTGATCAAATATGTCAGTATCATATGTGAAAAGATTTGCAAGCTGATAATCAATGTTGGAGTTATAGATAATGTCAACTGCTTTTTTTATTTGATCAAAGTCAAGAACTAAATTCAGATAATTCTTATAAATAATTCACTTATAAAACAGCTTAATATGTAAAATTTAAAAAAGTTAAAGAAATTTATTGTGTTTCAGTTCCCTATTATATTATATTATAATACAGTTTAAAAAAAATGATAGAAGTATAAATCTTAAGAGATTCTTTATTTTTATGAAAAGATAAATAAAGATGAGAAATTTTGAGAATCTCTTTATATTATTAACTTAAAAGTGTTAATAGTAGTTTTCAAGCCTGTTTGACACAGAACCCTTGTAGCAATCTTGTAACCAAGGTAATGGCAAGAAAGAGTCACAGCAATATTTTTAATAAGAAAATGTGAACAAAAGTGTATGCAAATATCCTTAAAACAAATATCTTCAAATTATGTAATATTATAACATATTTCACAGTTTGCCAGTTTTACTTTCACTTGAAAATTGGTGGCAACATCTAATTTTGATCTATAGCATTTATTTCCATTTTATAAAGTCTTTTGTTTATTAAATAGTTTTAAAACTTTTTTCAGACAACACGCCTGTGTGGCAGAGTGGTTAGCATGCAGAGCTTCTGAAGCAAAGCGCAGTGGTTAGAATCCTACTAAAGAAACTTTTTTTTCTAAAATATTACATATTTCTAAAATGATTTTTCTAAAATACAAAACAAAACACTTTTGAAGTTTTGTAGATATTATTTAAATAACAAATGTAAAGATATCACAAAGAAAAGGGAGAGAATTTTAAAAAAAGCTTAAAATTTCTAAAAAAATCAATACCTAGAGAACATTATTGTGCATATGTCATGATAGAAATACTTCTGTTATTTTAGTTTTACATTTCAAGTTTTCTACAATTAAGTTGAGTTCATGCAAGGAAAAAGGGTATATAAGATGCACTGTTAAGCTGGACATATGTTTCATTTTACTTGATATTTTTAACAAAATTACAAATAAAAATTTTCTATTCAAGTCTTCATTTCCATTTTTAGTTAAGTTTAATCATAATTATAATGATTCTTATTGTAACTTATTTTTACAGCTAAGCTTCATATTTTAGCTCCTAAAGATATTCAAATATGTGTATATATTTATTTTATTTATTTATTTCTTACATTTAAACATGTTGGAACTAGATAAATATCTACAATATCAAGTTCAGTTTTACGAAGAAATTAAAGTATAATGTTAGATTGATTTTTTAAATATATACTTAACCCTATCAAATATTTTTCTTCAACAAGTATTAAAATGTTTGAAATGCACATAAGTTAATAATTTTAATAAGATTTTTTAAAAATGTTTTTAATGATTAAGATCATTTATCAAGTTTATTTTTTTCTGACTTATTGCTTTTAGAAGAGGTTTTTCTGACTTATTGCTTTTAGAAGAGGTTTTTGAACAGCTACTCCATTTAAGCAAACAGATTTTAAGCAAAGTTTTACAGTTCTTTCTGAAATTTTATTATGAGCAGCATTAAAGTTAGATTTTACTTTTTTGGGCTGTAAATTATCTATTTTGTTTACATGAGAGTATAATTAACTAGTCTTCAGATTTTGATGTCCTGTTATTTTCCTATCTTTATTTAAACAGTAAATTTAAACTGACAAATAGTATCACTCACTGTTGATTTTCAACAATTTTGAATGTCTAGTAGAACAACTATCTAACTATATCCAGAGTAAAAATTGAAGAATGTGTTTCTAATGATAAATTACATTTCTTTGACATTTTATATTATTTTTTTAAATTTTAGTCTAAAAATAATCAAAATGCACTTTTATAAACTGAAAATTAAAAAATAAATTTAGTTCAGCTATGCCAAATTTAGTTCAGCTATATAAAATATTTACTAAATTAATTTATTAATCCAATATATTATATTAACGAAATTATGCTTTGATGACAAAAAAACAGCTAAATTTTATTGACAAATTTTTTAATAAGTATGTTCGAGCATGTTTATAATATGAAAACAAAGAAAATATTTTGCATTTTAATATTAAAAACACATTAGCAAATCTTAATTGAATTATTTCATGGTTTACAAACAATTTTAAAATTTAATACTATAAGTGACCAGAATTATTTAAAACTATAAGTGGCTGGAAACTTTTGCTGGGCAGTATATATATATATATATATATATATATATATATATATATATATATATATATATATATATATATATATATATAATTTATAAATTCACCTGGCCAAGACTTCAGAGTCTACTATATATATACTATATATATACATATATGTATTTATGTATGTGTGTGTGTGTGTATATATATATATATATATATATATATATATATATATATATATACACACAAATAAATATTTACCTTTTTTTGTAAACTTGTTCCCATATTTAGATTCCACAATGATATTAACTAACAACTGAACATCAAGCTGAGATTCACAATTAGAAACCATAAGACTTAAACATTCTTGAGTAAAATCCTCCATCTTTTCAGCTGTTATATCATATGGAGATGATTTGGCTTGTAGAAAAAGAATAAAGCTACTTTGAAAACTGCTTAAGAGAGATACAGACTTATTGTGTTCAAGCCGGTTAAGAAATGACTCAATACATTGCAAAAATTTTACAAGAACGTGACCCTATCAATAAAAAAGGAGATCAATAATATAGTTCAAAGATAAAATATTATCAATATAGACATTTAAAAAAAATAATGAATATTTAATTACAAATTAAAAAAACTAGACATACTGGCATAAATATTTGAAAGCCTTGTGATGGAATTTCGCCATATTTGACACTGTGTAAAAACATTTCTTTTATAATTGTAAATAAATCTTCAGTTTTCCATGTGTGGTTAAATATATCTGAAAAAGGAAAACTAAATTTTGTAGACAGCAATTTCAAATAGAACTTTCAAAACAATTATCACTTGGTTATAACAAAGTATTAAAAGCTTACTTGATAAATCAAAGGAACCTTCACTTAACCCATCTAAAGATAAATTAATATTCATAATTTAGTTAATATCAAAACTTAGTTATTACTTATTTTCGTAATTAAAAAATGCTACTTTTGTTGTTTTAAAAAACATTTCTCAGATATAATGAGATTTAATGAGCATGATATAATGAGAAGTGCCAAAAGTCAGAGACCTGGAAATCTAAAAATTTTTGTGAAAATGTCTTGTTTATGTGTACAAAAAAATACTATAGAAATCAAACAATTTCAAAGAGCAGGACTTTCTTGCAGTGAGTATTTCCGATATTTTGAGATTTAAAAAAAAAAATAAAAAAATTTGCATCAAAATATTTATTTTAAAGAAGGTAATATCTAATACATTAAAGCTGTAATATAACATAATGATGCAGTTGAAGTTAGCATTTAAAAACATGGGCCTCAACTTCCTGTTGCTATGTTTGATCTTGCAATTTATAACAACAACTTGTTCTAAATAATAATGCAGCCTAGTGGTAAAGCGCTTGGATTTTTAAGCAAGAAATTCCAAATCCAAGTCTCTGGTAATAACACGCTTGACAAAAAGTCTGCAGAGAACATGTTTCTTAAGGTTTAAGTTTCAAAGAGGATTGTAACAACATTAAAAAAAAAAGTAGCTTCCTAGGTTTTAATGACCTTTTCAACCTTGAAAGGTGAGTACAGTAATAAAAAAAATAATTACAAAATCTATTGAAAATACTCAATATTAATGTAAAATATTATCATTATTTAACATCCCAGGAAACGTATCGCACATCTTGTTTGCTCATGTTTAAAGTTGTTTTTTTAAACAACCAAGTTTTAATATAGTAAGCCTTTTAAGAATATGCCGCAAAAAAAAAAACTATAAGAAACTACAGAGAATAAAAAATGAATACAAAAATGTTGGATTCTCTAAATTGTGCATTTAAACCTGTGGTAAGTAATTAAAATATAATAACTTACCATGAGACGACATAATAACTAATTAAATAAATAAATTTAACATTTTTAAAAATCTTTAGTACAAACTAATTTAAAGTTTATTTCCTGATGAACTTTAATTGATATTGACAATGCTTCAAAAGCTTGTCGGCTAGTGCATTGTTAATTTAATTTACTTTTTTAAGGATAATTTTAGGAGCTAATTTAAAATCTTTTTTATAAATTATCAAATAAATAATTTCAAACAGAGCAATCATTATGTTCATTATCATATTCATATTTTATTATCATGTTCACTATCATATCTCTAACAATTTGTATTAACATTAGAAATTGGGCAATATAATGAAAACAATTTCAGACAGGCATTAAATGTGGTAAATAAATTTATAAAAGAAACCATGTTATTCTTTTATTTAATTTCTTCTTTCATTACAAAATTTATTAATAAAATATTTTATTAATAAATTTTATAAAAAGCAATTTATTTTCTTATTTTATAAAAAGCAATTTATTTTCTTATTTCCCTATTATATAAGTAATGAGAAAAAACATCAAATATAGCAACAAAAAAAAAGCAAAGACATTAAAGTGCTTCCTGGGAAAGCTTGCATACATGTTAATTCTTGAATAGAAAACTTATAATTAAAAATAATTTTTTTTTTAATTATAAAACATTAGGTTTCAATGGTTGGCTTCAATACAAAGTTTTGTATGACAAATTAATAAGAAATTTAAAGATAAAAAAAAAAAGAAAACTAAAAGTACATAAAAAGAATTTGGTCATCTGAAAAATTTATCTGCTAGTCAAACAGAAGAAAAATATAAAAGCATTTAAAGAAGTTATGGAAGAAAAAACTAAAATTATTAAAAAAAATAATCCATCAGATTTTAAAAAGGAATTCAATTCCACCTTAGTTTCTTCAGCTCTATTGGCTAAATACTTTTATAGAAGATTGTGAAACAACAAGCAATATTTGTTCTTAGTTAGGTTAAGATTAGAAACATTGAATTTTGTTGAAAACTTCAACATAGTTTGTAAACAAGTTGAAAATATTTATCACCCAGTGAATAATGATCATTTATTTAAAGATGTGTCTGGAGAAAACAATTATACTAAATCTTGTACAAAAGAAGTGTCAGGTGAGTTGACAATTCATACTAATAAGTGTCAAGTGAGTTGGCAATTCATACTTATAAGAAAAATAAAAAAATTTAGTGAAAACATCAGAAAAAATTAACTCTAAAATGAAAAATTTACAGTTAATTTGACTCATTTATAACTCTTCACTTAAAATAAAAAGTTGAAGTACAGTTAATTTCCAGTATTTCAAACATCGGTAAACTTGAACTTTTGCTATCTTGAACTTTTTTTTTGGTACTTTGAAATTGTTTAACTGATTACTATAAAAATTCACTAGTATAATCTCTGATAACTTGAACATTGTTAAACCACAAGTTAAACCATTTTTTTTCCCCTTTCAGCAAATTTCTTCGGATAACATAAACTTTTTGTATTGGAAATAAAAAAATCAAAACATCTTGATCAAAATTTTGCTTTAGAAGTCATTCCATATAAAACATAAAAAACAGTAACTAAAATAAATCATAATAAAATTAAATAACCATGGTTTGAGGACAAATATATCACTTCCAACAAAGACCAGTGAAAATTTAGGATCAAACACAGAAATTTCAGGTAAATTAAAATTACCTTTACTAAATTAGATTTAGAATGGCAGTATCATTGTCTCTTCCATAAACCCTAATGTTAACAATTGTCAAACAATATTTAGCATTATAAACAGCTAATAAAACCATAAGTTTATTTATTTTTCAATTTGTTTGTTAACAAGTTTTTTGTAGTTGTAAAAAGAAGAATCAGATTTCTATACATTGCGTAAATAAACTGAATAAATTTATTAATGATAATTACCATTCTGTTATGTCATTTTGGGCTCTTAGAAATATTTTTTCGAGAACTTCTCATATACCATAACAAGTTTATTTTATTATATTGCATACTGTAGCTCTTTTAGCGCAAAAATAAAATGACTGAGTCTGTTGTAAATCTCCTGTAGTCAGTTATTGAATTGTAATAATGAACCTTTGTGGTAGACATTTTACTGAGACTTTTTTGTTATTGAAGATCTGATTAATGACAAAGATAATTAAGTCTGCCAGGAGACATTATTGAGTTTTGTTGAGAACAAATTTTTATAAAATAGAATCCATGGAAATAAATCTTGATTATCTTAACACATTTATTAAATAGTTCTCTGACCCAAACATTTTTTAAATAGTTTTCTGATGTTTTTGTTTTTTTTACACTTTTCCTGGCTTTATAAAATTAAAAGTATTACAAGAAGTCAACAATATTAAAATTTATTTTCCAGTTAACCATTTTTTTTCTGTTAACACTGTTGTTTTAAAGATTTTTACACCAATTCTATTTAATGAAAATATTGCGTTGCACAACATATTACCGCACTATCAACAAATGTTGCATAATATTGTAAGATGTAGCTTGGTCTTAACATTGAGGACTGATATTCAAAATTTTTAAATTTCTGTGCCTACAGTTGGAGGTTATTTCACTTTTTGTAATTAATAGTTTCTCTTTATTATACATCAAAATTTGAAAACAAAAAAAAAAGCCCATAATGCATTTAAAAAATAAATGATTGTATTAGAAAAATATCTAGCCAAATTATAAAAACTTCTTACATAAGTAAACAGTAATTTACAACTTTTGATTTATTGTTTGTTTATTTATACATTATATGAATTATTTATCATTAAAATTGTTATTTACATTAACAATATATTGAAAACTGATATTTTTATTAAATGTGACAATACTAAAAAATATTTACTTTGCAGCTTTTTAATAACTCCGCATCGATCTTGATCATCCAGGATGCACAAATACCAGCTACATATACATTCCAAACGACTTGCTTCCTAACATATTGTAAAAAATTATGTAACAAATACTTTACATATGCATATAATATATATATATATATATATATATATATATATATATATATATATATATATATATATGTATATATATATATATATATATATATATATATATATATATATATATATATATATATATATATATATATATATATATATATTTGTTGGGTTTGTGTTTTTAATGTTAGGCAGATTTGAGTAATTATATGACAGCACAAAATAGAGTCATTCCTTAATATATGTATTTTTTAATTGTTGATTTCTTATGCCATAGTTTTTCATTTTTATGATTTACATCAATGTCATATCTATGCTTGATATTGTTGTCAAGTGTGTATTTGAGTTTGCCATTAAGATTCTTTTTTTTCTAAGATTTTTCTCATGTATTTTTTCGTTTTCTGTTAAATCTATAACTAATTTATATTAATTTATAAAAATTCTTGGAGAGTAATGAAAAGTTAATGAAAAAAATAATATATATAAATATAATATATATATATATATATATATATATATATATATATATATATATATATATATATATATATATATATATATATATATATATATATATATATATACTGCCGCCCTAAGTAAAAACGCAGTAAACAACAAAAATGACATTCTGAGAAAAAGCCACTTTTAAATTTTGTGTGTATATATTTTTTTAACTTACGGCAAAATGAACTATGGGTTTGATGACTTCGGAATATACCACAATATTTTTATATAGAGCGTTATTACACAGAAAACGATGTTAAAACGTTTGGTGCAATAATCTCGATTTTTCAATTTTTGCGATTACTGCGTTTTTTCTTAGGACGGCAGTATATATATATATATATATATATATATATATATATATATATATATATATATATATATATATATATATATATATATGCAGATAATTTTAGTATATTTATAAATATATAATCTTTTAGAATTTTTGCTTTTGCTAAAGCAGTGGTAACTGTTTTAGCAAAATCAAAAGAGTGAAATTTAGTGAGTGAAATTCAATTTTTATTATATTTGTATGTGTTTGGTGGCCTTTTATTTTTTTCATTAACTGTGTAACTTTTTTAACTTATCTTTTGCCAATTTCAAGGCTGTTTAAGATTAAAAAGGTTGCTTCTTCATCATTTCTTACATTTAAATTGACATGATCGATTCCACTTATTATGTTGTTCACGCGGTTTATTTTTCATTTGTTGTTTTTAGTTACTGCTAAAACAATAGCTGCTTATAATTCTTTTGTTATGCTTTACTTGTTACCAGATACCATTTTGTCTAAATAAATTCTGTGCATTAGGAATACTAATGTTGGTATCTTCTATTTGGGTTTTGCCTATATTTGTTTCAAGTTCGTCTATTACTTTTTTTAATTCATTGATAACTTTATCTTTCTCTAGAATTGTATCAACTAGTTGGTCAAATCTTTGATTAACTTTTAACTTAAAAATTAACCATAGGTCAAGAATTTTCAAACTAAGTTATTTTTCTTTGGTAATTAAGTTATAATAGCCAACATCAGATGTTGATCCTATTTTACAATTTTATATAAATTTTAACCAAATAATTATATGAATGCATAATTTTTCCAGTTTTAAGTCATAAGTAATCCAAAATATCGCTTATTACTTATTAACACAATAAAACTAGAGCTATTAATGTATTTTTTTCTGTGATATACACAAAGAATATTAAAACACCTACTATTAATTATATATTTATAAATATACTAAAATTATCCGCATATATATATATATATTTATATATATATATATATATATATATATATATATATATATATATATATATATATATATATATATATATATATATAAATAAACAAATATGTATATATATGTAGAAATGGGTTAAAACTTACTGGTTAGCAGAAAGAACAAAAAGTAGCTTATAAGGATTAAATCTAAAAAAACAAAGAGATAAAAAGACCAGATACACAGCTGTTCGGTATGAAGACAAAAAGTAAAAAAAAAAAAAAAAAAAAATGAGAAGGAAACTTGAGAACTCATTAACAATGTAGTATTATAAATTGGGAAAATAGGCAAAAAAAAATTTTTAGTCAGATATAGAACCCTTGATTGGATATATATAAATATAGATATATGCATATATAATATATATGTATATAAGGTAAGCAGATTATTGAAAAAAAAAATTAAACTTGATAACTCAAATCAATTAATCGATTAGTTAGTAGATGAGAAGTAAAGCAATAAAACAGAGATAAAAAGCAAATAAGTGAGAAGAAAAATAAGAGAAAAAAGTGCAGAGGAAAAACTAAACTATAATAAAATAAAAAATACTATATTAAAATAAGATAAAAACTACAGATAAAAACATAAACGTTTTAAAATGCGTCTTGTCAGCTCAAAAGTCTAAAAAGCAGGATAATATAATAATACATAAAACTTGTACAATCCTCAATATTACGATAATAGAACAATAAATATTTAAATTTTTTTTAAATGAAAAACTATTATCAGCTATTATCAGCTATTAAACCATAAAAACCGTTAGAAAAAACTGTAAAAAAAAAAACTTGTTTACAAATGAACTAAAAACTATGGTAAAACAACTTCTGATGTAATTAAAATGTGTAAATATTTAGTCTCCAGTATCAAAAAAGGACAGTAAAAATTTGAACGTCGACACTTAAATAATATTTTGTCAGGCCTTTTTATTAGGCAGGTTGCTTTCGTGGTGATATAAAATTAAAATTTTCTAATGAAGGCCGAAGTTACAAATTTTGGATGTTGTTTTAATACGTTTACAGTGTTTTATAATTTTCCATTTTGTGTGTTTTATGTTTTATTTTTTTAAATTCCAAATTTCTGAGAAGCTCAGTATCATTTCTGCATCATTTCACAACATTGAAAGATTTTAAACGATCTATCATATAGGATCTAAGGTTATTTCTCACTGACAATTAAATTGTATCTAAGGTTATTTCTCACTGATGCTGAAAGATACTTTTTCTTTAGGACTTCATCAATCACAGTAGATAAACAATATTAATTAATTAAAATTGATTGTTCCAGACTTTTTTAAAGCTTTTTCATAAGGTGGGATAGCATTATAGAAAACAGATTCATTTACTGATGTAGCAGATAACCTTATTCAACAGTGCAAGGGAGACTTTTTATAATACTAGGTGGGTGATTTGAATAACAGTGAACGCAATTCAGCTCATTGCCGCATTTACGGTATGGTTAAAAAGAATTGTTATTGAGATCAAATGTCACGTTGAGAGTTAACTAGTTTCATATTGAATTGAATGGAAATAAGATAATCATTACTTTAAAATTTTTTTAAATATCTCTAGCCTATCATCATAATATTGACCAAAATCATTTCAACTATAATGCTGTGGAAGTTGAAATGAAAGAAAAATTACTACTAACTTACATACTTTAGCGCCATTGAAATCGCCTATTGTAAGATCAAAGAGTCCACTTTTTTTCTTAACTCACGTTTTTTTGTTATTAAAAAGTAAAGGTTTTCTTGGGTATCTAATTAATGTTTTGCATTCAGTATTTATTATAAGATGATGTTTGGCAAAGTTGATTGCATTGTTATTGTTTTACTTATTAAATAATAAAAATCATGTCAAAAACTAAAAATTTGTAAAGATATTTATCCTTATTTTTCAAAAACCAGTCAGTGACATTTAAAGTGTTTTGTCATTGGTTAATAAAAATAATAAATAAGTACTATAAATAATGTTGTTTTTTATTTAAACAAAATTTATATATGCTTTTTAATTATTAAAAATTAATGATTAAATGAGCTCAAAAATTTGCGGACATATTGAAACATTTCACATTTTTCTCAAAAAATTGCATGTTTATTTATGTGAAAGTGCTTGGCAAAAGATTAGAAGGATTTCAAAGAGGCGCAACAGCAGGCATACAGACCATACCACTAAAAGCACACCAGGAAAAAATATTAATTATACCAAGTGACAAGTCAAAGAAAAACTCAATATTAGCCAAGGCAAAGAAACTCAGTGATTAAACAAACCCACAGTACTAAGGTATTTATATTTCACCACAAGCAGAGCAATATGAAAATATAAAGCTTAGAAAATTAAGAGATACAAAAAATACTGCAAAAAGACCAATCGAAAAGATAGATGAGTTTTGAAACATGGTTTCAAAACTCATCCATTGAGAACAACCTCACATCATATGAAATAAGTATTGGTGATAAAGAGAACAAAATAGAACAAATATGGGCTGTCATTGTAATTAGAAATATCAAATAGCTCATTGGATGTATATACAGACCAAACAATATAATAGACATCAAATCAAATAGAATGATCTTAGACAAATTATACATAGTGCAAAAAATAAAGTAGATGGTAAAATATATGCAGATGTAGTAATACATGGTGAGCTCAATTTTCCAAACTTATCTGGAATAGTCGATATGTTGAGAGTGTAAATAGTAGAGAAAATTCAATGTAACATATTTACAGATATAATAAACAACAAATTTTTATTTCAGCATGTTAATTTTCCAACTTTTCAACTGTCAGAAACACAGTTATAAAACAAACTAAACTTGATATTTACCAACAGAAGTAATAGTAACAGAATTTATGAGCTACAATTACATGAAGTCCTGGGTTGTACAAACAAAGGGCATTTAGTATTGACATTTAAACTTGAACTAAACATTAAACAGAGTAGCAGAATATTAAAATATAAATTTGACTACACCAAACTTCTGTTTTTATAAATAACAACACAGAAAATGTACAATACTTTTATATTAAACATAAACTAGAGTAATTTATATATACCAAAAGTTGATGTTTATGCAAAAATCAAACACAAGAGAAATTCATGGTTTAGCGATAACCTTAGAGCACTAGTTAGAATGAAAATAAAAATTCAAGATATTTAGCAGTCAAATGAAAAGATGCAGAAAAGGTCAATGATAAAATAATAATAATAAAAACAAAATAACAACAAAATTAGTATCAAAAGAAGCCGTATTAACCAGAAAGGACTATGAAAGAACTATGAAAGGACTATGAAAGGACTATGAAAGGACTATGAAAGGACTATGAAAGGACTATGAAAGGACTATGAAAGGACTATGAAAGGACTATGAAAGGACTATGAAAGGACTATGAAAGGACTATAAAAGGACTATGAAAGGACTATGAAAGGAACCTGACAATAAAATCAAACTTCCCAAACTTCTCTATAAATATGTTAAGAGTCAGAGGAATACTTAGCAATCAACTAAAGCCATTTTGAATGCTTTTTTTAAGGTTATTCAAGGACATTTAAAAAGGTTTTAATTTTTAAGGATGTTTAAGGTTTTCAAGAAGAAGCGGGAACCTCGAAGAAGATTGGGCTAAGTGTGCTTGATTTGCTTATGGAGTTTGAGTAGATATGGTAATAATTTTTTTTTTTTAATGACAGGAAAGTATTTTCTGTCAGGTTGAAGGTAAAATCAAGAAATTTTACAAATATCTAATATTTCCATTACAACTGTTCCAACATGTAACTGCCAGCAACCTTCACAATGTCCTATGCAAAGTATGTGCCTTAGTAGATATAATTTAGATTTTAAATGCAGATTTTTTGATGCAGCAGCAATCATTACATTGCAGTACAAACAACTGGCACTAATAGAATCCATGCGTTAATAAATATATGCAAATCTCAATATAAGTGAGAACAATAGTTTACAATAGAGTTCTGTAAAGATGAGTTATTTAAATTTGCTCAATATGTTGTGTAATTAAGAACAAATCAAATAGTTTACATTTTATTTTGGTTGGAATTTTAGAAAAATATTTTATTTAAACTTTATTACTAAACTAAACACTAATAAACTAAACACTTATCCAAAACTTTACAGAAAAAATTATAACTTTATAGAGAGAAAAATGGCTGATTTTATCAAAACATTGATAAAAATACAAAGATGAGGAGTGACTAATTTTTAAATTTTTTTGATAAAAATATAACTAAAAAAAAAAATCAAAAGTATAGCATACGTTCAGATCAAAATTAAAAAAAAAAATTTGTTTTACTTTTCTTTTTAAATATTTTGTTAAAATATTATTACTTTTCTTTTGAATTTTTTTTTCTTTTAATTAGTTTTTTATTTTATTAAATTGTTTTTATTTATGTACTTAGTTAGACTTATATATATAGATTGCTTTAAGATTTTAGTAGACTACTTTTTTTTAATTATTTTTGCCAGCAGTTAGCTATTAAATGTTTTATACTTGGTAGCTGACCAAGTATAAAATATACAATAGAATAAAACATTTAATACAATAAAACAATAATCACAATTAATATTCAATTCAAGAATAGAAAACCTTATAGCAAGCAGCCAAAATTGGAAGAAAAGCATGATATGAAACATAAGAGGAACACAGTAACGCTTTCCATGGTTCAGCATATTTCTCACATTCTAGTAAAGTATCTAAAAGACTGCCTGAAAAACTTGCTATGTCTGGAAGTCTTTGACCTGTATCAATAAAAGTAATAAACTAAATGTAAAAAAATAAAGTATAAAAAATTTAAACAATAGACTAATTAAGCATCCAAAATTTTAAAAACTTTTTTGTTGTCTTTTTCCATCACAAAAGTCTTCATTTTTTTCATTTGATGCAGTATTTTCAGGTGTAGACATTATCGGCTCTCTACTAGCAGAAGCACCAATGCGTGAATAAAATTGTGCGCGAACATCTCTTTTTTTTGTAAAACTCTATAAAAAATATAACAGTATAATCAATAACATTTTCAACTCAATACAACTCAAAGCCTAAAAGTAACAGAGAAATAGTTTAAAAAATCTAGAGAAAATAATTTTAGAGAAACAAAACAAAAAATGTATTAAATTCAATGTGCTGAAGAACTTTATGACAAACGCTTGTGTTAAAGTTTATTTACTTAATTTTCTTTTTTTTTAAAAACATCCTTACAGATGATTTTATAGATAAACTATTGATATTTAAAAAAAAAAAATTTATGTGTGCATTGTTTGACAGCCTTAAGTACACCTTTGGAAACTTTTTGTAGGTTCATGTGTACTTTGTTTGACAACCTTAAGTATAACTGACATTACTAATTGATCATGTCTGATATATAGATTTAGTCTGGTAGATAAAAGAAAAGGTTGATTTTTGACACTTTCTTAAGTATTTAAAAACCTAATGAATGAAAGTTTATTTGAAGAAATGTCAATAATATGGCAAAATGTTTGATTTAAAACATCTAATTTCATAGGGAAATGTTCATACCAATTTAAATACACTTCAACATGCTGATTTGCCCAAATTAAATTATTACTATACAAAGATTTCATTAAAAAGACTTTTAAAAAATTCTTAAATTTTTTACACAAAATCAAGGTAAGCGACACAGTGTCTGTAATTTGATGTTAATAGTTTACCTCGCTTCTTAAACAATAGTGTTATTTTAGTGGATAAAAATTATAATGGCAATATGCCAGTTTGTATAAATGCTTTAACAACCAATGTAAAGCATGTACACAAAATAAATGTGAAAGATTAAACACACCTTTTTTTTTTCTGTGGCTATTAATATATTTTTAATTGTGCCTGTATTTTGTAGGCAACATAGAACAATTTTTAAAAAATGTTTTAGTTTTCCCATTTAACCTAAAACAAGTTTTAAAAATGACAAAAAAAAGAAGACGTTAAAAAAAATATTTTGCACAAATAAATGGAAAATCCGAATAGAAGCAAATAAATCACTACACTGTTAGTTATGTTATTTAACTTTTTTTCTAAATAAAATCGATTAAATGCAAATCTAGTAATGATGGAAAAAAGCTTTTACAAGATATAAAACTGGTTAACAGTTTTATGAATAATCAAACCCTCTCACTACCCTCACAAACCCTCTCACCCTGGTTATCAATGTGATAAACACTGATCAAACACAATCAAACCCTGAGATGCGCAAAAAAATAAGAGTTCTCATAGTTTGGTTGTAAAAGTACAAAATAAACATTTTTATTTAAAAACTTTGACATATAAAATTCGCCGAATGGTCACACACGAGCAGTGAACGCCTGAGGGAAGAAATCAAGTACATTAGAATAAAGGAGAATTATTTATTAGACAAAGCATATTTTTACAGTTGTCAAGACAAAAATAAAGATTAATAGAGGAATATTTAAAAATAAATAAGACAGGCTATACAACCAAAACAGTACTCAACAATAATAAAAAATATATATATATATAAAAATAAAAAAAATAAAAAAAATGTTTTATAAATACCAATATGAACTAAAATATACAAGAAATACATAACCAGTCAAAAATTTGTAAAACAAAAAACCATTCAACAAATTAAAAATATGGTAACAACAATGAAAGAACTAATAATGGAAAAAAACAAACATTAATGCTAATGTGTAAACATAATTAGTGTAGTGATTAACTAATAAACATCTCCTCAGAGTCGCGTCTATTATTACTGGCGTTTCGATGAGGATCAGCATTTATAACTAGTTTATCCCGTCAGACAAATGTCATCGCCACTTATGCTTTACCCCGCGACTTACGCCTATTCCATACTGCAGTAAAAAAGGACTCACTACAAATAGCCAAAACCCAACCAACCCCAAATTTGTAAAGCACCAATATTTTTTTTGATGATATGATATAAAAAGTATAGATTTATTAAACAAACAAAAATAAAAATAACTAAATAAAACACTTACCGTACCACCAAAAGAAAACATGAAAACAAAATAAATTAAAATTCCAATAGAAACATAAAAATATTAGTCAATTTATTTTAAGAAATAGAACCAAATAGGTATTATTAGCATGAACAAGCCCAAGATAATCAGAAAGCAGTATACTTCATTAAAAAAATATTTTTAATAAACAAAACAATACCCTTAAATAAACTCTAACGCTGTCATAGATACCTCATTCGAAATATGATAACCAATCAAAAGTGTAGGAAAATGAGTAACCCGCGAAACCCAAAATCATAACAATAACAATATATGATAGCGAAAGAGAACATTGCACAAAAACCTTAAAAATGTAAGCGACATATATGTAAACATTAAATGAAGGATATTAAAATATTCTCTGAATAATAATAAAGATGAAAATTGTGCATATGAAAATTCAAACAAAGATAGTTTATCTATAAAAGAAAAAAAAGCATGCAAAAGATGTAAACAGGCTGCATGTGCATAAGGGTGTATAGATGTAATGTGTAAGTCTGTGCTGTTTATGACGTTCAGTAGAGTCTTGTATTGTTAGTAACCAGCGTAAAAGATTTGTCTCTGAACTAAACCAAGCCAGCCCAGCCATACTCTGATAAACTGGTTAACAGTTTTATGAATAATCAAACCCTGAGATGTGTAAAAAAATTAAGAGTTTTCTCATAGTTTAGTTGTAAAAGTACAAAATAAATATTTTTTTCAAGCTTTCAAATCACTAACTGTTCTAAAATTCAAAATAAAAGTGCAAGAGCTTGCTGAAAATAGTTTTATGAAAAGTATATTTCTAAAAAATTTTTAATTATTGAAGATGATAAAACTTATATGAAGTACGATCATCAGCAAATTCCTGGTGCTGTCTATTATAACGCACAAATATAGAAAAAAAGCAGATCAGAAACTTAAATACATAACATATGATAAGTTTGCTAAAAATGTTTTGACTTGGCAAGCTATTAGCAGGTATGACAAAAAATCAGCAACCTTCATTTCTAATTCCACACTATCTGGTAAAATACATGTCAAAGAGTTTTAACAAAAACATCTTTTACCTTTTACTATATTATATAATAGTAGATATGTATTCTCTCTAGATTTATCATCATGTCGTTATAACGAATGACTATGGTATGGTATAAACAAAATGACGTGAAAGTTATGTCTAAAATAGCAAATCCTCTAAACTGCTCAGAATTGAAAATTATTGCAAAGTAATAAGTAAGTATTAATTGAAAAAAAAAAAAAAAAAAAAAGCTATGCAGAAATATTAAAGATTTAAAATGTCATATCAATGTCTCACTGGAACCAATTAATACCGTTTCTAAAAAAGATTTAAACTAAATAGCCTTTTATTACCAAAATCCTTTTTCTGAATTGAAACCAAGTTTCTGAATTGAAACCAAGAGATTTTTATTTGAGTATATATCTAATATTTATTTTAGCTTTTTTCAGACTTAAATTTTTAATTTAAGTTATCTTTTTTTTTTAATCATTTTAAGTTATCATTTATTTTTTTATTCATATTATTATTTTTATCATTATTACTATTTAATATTATTAACTATCATTAATCATATTAATTATCATTATTTAATAGTGCTTTATTTTTTTCTCATTCCCTTTTCATTTTTTTCTTTCTCTTGTTTCTATGTTTTCTTTGTTTATTGATTTTTTTTTCTTTTTTTACTTAAAATTCTTCCTATGTTTTATTTACTCGTTTTTTTTGTTTTTCTTTTTTTTTAGGTGTCACTCCATTAATTAGTTTTTAACTATACAACCGACAACTAACTTTATTTATGTGAGTTTATAATATATTATTGTAAATTTTTCATATTTTATGGTTAAATAAATAGACAAAAAAAAAATTCATACAGTAATCTACATACAGATAACTTTCATACAAATTTACTACATCTATATACAAATTTTCATACAAAGTTATTTCAAACTTTTTTCTTTCAAAATTTCATAACTAATTTGGTGGTGTTGTACAAAAAATTTAGTTATTTGTCTTCCCAACATAAAATTTTTGAATCTTAAATTTTGTTTCTTATTAGATTCTTTAAATCATAATTTATCTTATGGTTTTTTGTTTTTCCAGAACTTATATATAATTTAAGAATGAAATTATTACATATATCAGATGCAACAAAAGGGTACATTAAAGTAACGTTTTTTTTAACAGTTAACTTCTTTAACGACTTTTGATCATAAATCATAACCTCCTTTACTGCAGTCATAAATCATAACCTCCTTTACTATAGTCATAAATCATAACCTCCTTTACTGTAGACATAAATCATAACCTCCTTTACTGTAGTCATAAATCATAACCTCCTTTACTGTGGTCAAAAATTTTAATTGAATAGAATTTCAATTTAATGGAGTCTTTAATAACACTTTTGAATTTTCTATATGTCACTTCTGAAGTATCTATATGCATTACTTCTGGCACTTCTGAAGTATCTATATGCATTACTTCTGTCACTTCTGAAGTATCTATATGTATTACTTCTGTCGCTTCTGAAGTATCTATATGCATTACTTTCTGTCACTTCTAAATTATCTATATGCATTACTTCTGTCACTTCTGAAGTATCTATATGCATTACTTCTGTCACATCTGAAGTATCTATATGCATTACTTCTGTCACTTCTGAAGTATCTATATGCATTACTTCTGTCACTTCTTCTAGCTTCTGTTGCTAAAGTCATATCTCAATTAAACTTGTCTACAGCTTGTGGTCCAGACAACATTCCTGTCACAGTCTTGCAGAATTGTTCTCCAGAACTTTCTTCAATTCTCTCTAAACTATTTAACAAGTGTTTGACTGAGTCTTGTTTTCCTGCTTGTTGGAAAATGGCACCTGTGTTTCCAATATTCAAAAACTCTGGAGAAAATTCTGACCCCTCCAATTATCGTCCGATCAGTCTTCCTTCTGTTATTAGCAAGGTCTTTGAGTCTTTGATCAACAAATTCCTCACATCTCATC